CATTGCAGTGGCATCACCTACATCCAAAGGTACATGTATCACTGTTTTGGTAGTATATTTATACAATATATCATTTAATGAAACTACAAATTCTCCACCTCGCTGTTTTATATTCTATCTAACACAATAATCACTGTTCAGCCATCTTCAAACTATAATAGCATTTAATATGTTGTATTATAAATTGATCGTAACCAAGGGAGAGGAAAGAATTGTATCAAATAGATTCATATTCATAATGTTGTTTGGTATATTGACAATATTGGAAAGAGCTTAATAATTGAATTTTTTGCTCTGCTTTTATGTGCTGTTATGTAAAGAATGTGTCTATGAAGATGAATATAAATCAACTATGAAGTGTTGCTGAGTTTATACTTTCCTGAGTATCTATGACCAAACATTTCACTACATTTGGATATTTATATCGGTTCTGGGAGCTGAAATTTGCTTTATTCTCTACTAACAACATCTGTTTGATGTATGATTATTTGCACATATTTCATACAATATAATTATTGAATAGGACTATTGAAATTTTGTAATCATATTAATTAAAAGAAATTACATTTCGATCAAACATCAGCAAAAATATCACCATGAAGACAATACGCAGCTTAATCCAATGAATTATGTATCTACTGGCTACACTTACTTTACAGATGCTGTTATCATTATTAATATTATTTTGCAATATATACAGCAAAGTACCAGAGGAATATCTACATTCCTTAGCAGTTAAATTACTCTAAATCATGTTGTTTGTTGCACTAGAAACATAAGTGAATAAATGAAGGGTTTACTAGAATATGTTTTAAAGTCTGTATACAGCTGTATGCAAAACTTTATAATATAAGCCTGTTAATCACGTGTTTGTTTTAATTCTTGCCAATCTAGTTCACTAGAACTTGTAACTCATTACTGAAATATATAATATCACTTATACAATATAAATATACAATTACAGTCCCAGACAATCCGTTAGACTGTTCTAACTATCCAACTGGTTCATGGTACATACCACCAGTCAACATCTACCCCTCCAAGTGTGATCAATATGTCTGGTGTGCAAGTGGAACAAAAGTGGCTGATAAAACATGTTCGCCAGGGCAATATTTCACCAACTTCACTGATTCAGCACAAACATGTACAGCAGACTATGAAAGCTCATTCTGTGCAGCATACGGTGAGACAACTAAAGATGTCAAACAATATTAAATTTATAGTGTTGATCATAGGATGACCTTCACTGAAGACATATAGACTGATTTGATAACATAAGAGGACATTTAAATAAATATGAAACTGCTCTTTTCATATTTTATTGAATGCTTAATTATTATTTTTATTTGAAAGAATGTTGTTTATAAGGAATGAGGTAAATATTTTCGCAGGTATTTATAAAATCCCGAAGTCATCCGTGAAGCATTTTATAATTGACATATAATTCGTTTTTTGTAGGTGAGCGACATACAACCACTACTGAAGCAGGTAATCATTACATATCATAAGTATGCATACATTTCGCTCAAGCTAATTTATGTTGATTTGCTGTTACCGAATACTCAATTAGCATGTATGTATGATACCATTGGCTCTTAAGGTACTATTTAAGGAGTTGTTTGTCTTTCAGTGACAACAGTACTAACAAGCACAACCCTGTCGACTACCACAGCTTTGCCAGGTCAGTTATTATTTGTTTTCATTATGTTTTCTAAGTCGATAATGAAAGTATGCCATTCTGAAATAGTCCATTACGAAATTTATAATTTGTTTAGATAAAAGTAATATTGCCTAAAATGGCATCATTAGGGTCACTTCGCCTCCCAAGTTTCAAACTAAGTTCATCCATTAGTATGAGTGTCGAGCCCTGGAGACATGAAACAGCTTTATGGTGAAGGTTAATTCATTTTGACGGTACTGTTCTTAGTTTTACTTTTTCATTGAAAAGTGTTATTCACTTGTGTGTCTTTTGTGCAACTGTCAGCAGATCATTTTATAACATAATGTTTTTTCTCTTGTTGTCGACTAGTGTAGATAAAATTCTCATAGAACTTAAACTCTATAATAAAAATGAGACACATCTGAACTATTTTAGATGTACATCCTAATTTACTAGTACTGAAAAACACAATGTTTGTAACTAAATATTTCATCAAATATACTTTGTGATATGCAGACAGAGTGAGTAGAAATGAAAGCAACAAGATATTTATGGAAGATGATTTTCAATATGAGGAACAATAATACGAAAATAATCATGTTACAGATGTATCCTTCGATCAGCCAGAATATGTTGGTGTACTTGGTGGAAGCGGGCTAACCATGACGTGTAGGATCATTAATTCTACCTGGAAATATATTGATGTAGTTCGCCTCGATTCTGCCGAAGATGTGCTTGTTGCTCGGGTAAATGGATCTACCATAAGTCAGCCATTATATCCCAGAGTAACCACTAGTATGAGTTCGGGAAATGTGGTCGTTGATTTTACCGCTGTGGAGTGCACTGATGCAGGAAATTATGTCTGTGTATTGAATGATGACGCATCAGTCAAGATTCAATCACCAGATTCAGTCTTACAAGTCCGACGTAAGTAAAAGTTGTCCCTGACATAAAGATGGACATCTCTCATTAGCAATGTCCTTCTTTTATTTTTAGTTGAAATCTGCCTATTTTGGGGAGAAAAAAAATCAGCTGGGTTAGAAGTTTTAGGGTATATGTTTTGATGAATACTGTTTTATGAGTAACTTCTATCAGGATATAGCGAGTGATGGTATATACAAATTTTCATTTAGCATCTAACTGAAAACACTTGCAGTCTTGTCAAGTGTAAGGACGTTAGAACATAATATTGGAGCAAACATCACTCATCCTTCTCCAGATACAGAAATAATTTCACTTGTTTTTACATTAACAAAAAGATACACAAAAATGTGATTACTTTCGGTATAATGTATTATATATTTATGTCGCAATATATTGATACATGTATGACCACTTCGCATCATATTCCATCATACTCTTGATATATAAATGATATCCAAATGTCATTCATTTAACAGCAATACACATTATGATGTATATCACTTCACACGATATACTTGCAATAATGGTGCATTTTATATGTAATTTGTATTTAAATATAGTTCAATTGTCGTTACACAAGCAATAGTAGTTAGGTATTGATTATACATCTTAATGATAATTCTGTTCTTCTGTCCTGTCGCGTCTTGTATCAGGCTAAACAAATACCATATCTTAGGAATCATGACGCTTTCTTTACATTTACATGCAGACTATGGTATCATGACACCTGGTTCTACAACTAATTAGATTCTGATTTAGAGGAATGGGTGTCTGATATTTATTTTCTAGTTATTTCAATATTTTCTTTCAGAAAATTTAATTAATTTGGTGTTACGTTTAAATAGTTTATGAATGTGACAGAATTTTATATTTTTCACGCGTGCAAAGATGAAAAAAATCATATCAATATATTTCTATCTTCCAATAGAAAAATTGTTGTAAAAGTAAATAATGCCTTTATTTTCTGAAAATTATGTGCTAAGAATATGTGTCTCTGTTAAAACATGTCACATTAGAATATTGTCATATTAATGCTTGTTATTGTTTTGCTTATTAATACTAGATAAAATGCTCTCATTCAAAAGTCAGAATCAAAATAACATTTAATGTGCATCTGGTTTGAAAACTGATATATTTCCTATGTTAGGCTCTCCATCAGTTCCTATGTTTGACTTGAATGCTCACCAAGTCATTGGCTCAAGCTTGAACCGTCACCATAGACACAAGTGTTCGGGAGATGTGGGCTATCCTGCTGGAGAGTTCAAAGTTCAGTATGCAGCCTCAGGATCTTCAGTGTTCAGTGAGCTTTCCGTCTCAAATATTCAGACCACACCGAGTGAGTGGCTCTGTAACAGTACTGAACGAACGATGGAATTTGAGATAGCCTTCCAGGCAGACATGGACGAAGGAGTGATCAGATGTGACATACATAATCCTCTTACTAGTTCAACAACTCACTCAAATAACGAAACAATCGAATTAATTCCAGGTAGGTAAAAAGCAGAGATTTTCTTCTTTACTCTCACTGATACCAGTATGATTCAAATTTGAATTTTGAAAGATGACTGTTAGTAATTTGTTTGTCTGTACATAGTAATTTGGTGAACAATTTGAAAATGAGGGATGTTACACAGTAAGACAGAAGTTTTGCTTACCTTTGCATGCGTGATTTGTATCGGGGGACAGGGCCCCCAAATGTGTTGTAGCATGGGGCCCCCAAATGTTGAGGTTCTGAAATTATATTTAAAACCCTACTCCTCCTTTCTGCCTGGGTGAATTTCAACAAACTTTGATCTGATTCATCAGTTAGGGTAGGCAATAATTTCTTAATTTCAGAAATTTTATTTGACCCCTAGGGACTGGGCCTCAAAACGGAAAATATTATTTTGCTTAAAAATGCTACTTCTTTTCAATGCTAGAATGGATATCAACCGATTTTGATTTGAAACATCATTGAGAGTGAGGAATCATTTCTTAAATTCAGAAATTTGATTTGATCCCTAGGGACTTATGGGCCGGGCCTGGAAAGGGAAAATAAGACAATATTTTGCTTCAAAGCTCTACCCCTTTTAAATGCTTGAACGGATTTCAGCCAAATTTGGTCTAAAACATCATTGAGAGCGGGGAATCATTTCTTAAATTCAGAAAGTTAATGGTTAACATGAATGACTTTGATATACTTGAAAGGTCACAGGGATCAAATATGTTGAAATGTTTAAATGACTTCTTCTCAATAAGCAAAAGGCCAAGGATGATGATAGTAAGCCTGTAGCATGCTAGCATGAAGAGCTAACAAATTTGTAAATATGAATGCCATTGACCCTCTTTCAAGGTCACAGGTATGAGGTATCAAATGTGTTAAAAAGTTTACATGATTTCTTCTCAATAACTAAAAGGGCCAGGGTGCTGATATTATAGCTTTCAAAGGTCTCGGGTGTCAGATGTGTTGAAATGCCAAAGCAATTTCCTCTCAATAACCAAAAGGCCCAGGATAATGATAGTGAGCCTGTATCATGCTAGGATGTAGGGCTACCAACTGTGTTAATATGAATGACATAGACTCACTTTCAGTCACAGGTATCAAATATGTTAAAATGTTTGAATGACTTCTTCTCAATAACCAAAACGCATAAAGTGCTGAAATGGGACCGACTTTCAAGGTCACCGGGGTCAAATGTGTTTAAATGCTTAAGCAACTTCAGTTCAATAACCGAAAGGCCAAGGGTCTTGATATTGGGCATGTAGCTTGTTTTTTCAACAAGCAATACATGAAGAGTATTGGCAATTGTTTAGTGTATTTATAAAGACTATGATTTCAACTTTGCAGAAAATGTCTTGAACCAACAATGTCTTCTATCTAAGCTGTAGAGTAATTGAGCAACATGTTAAATTCGGCCTATTTCGCCTCTTTCATATATAGGTCTTTATAGTCAGATGACTATCAAGCCCCATGGGCCTTTTGTTTCACATATGCTGTAATTATGTCCACGTGCAATATTTTTATAGACAAAAAGTTATCGTGCTACAATGTAAAAGGTTGTGCACATATTTATTTGCTTGAAAGTCATTGTCATATAAGCACAAATAATTAAAAAAAAAAACAAATGAAAACTGCAAACACTTGGTTTCATCATTTGTCTATATTTTTAAAAAAATCAACGAAGACACACTAGTAGTTAGCTCTTTTCATCACATACCTATAATTAGACCTAACTTAGAGAGTATACCTTAATAATGACTTTTTTTCTGCATCATACAGCTGTCTCGTCTTTCTAGAATTTGTCAGTGATGTTAAAGGTCTAAATTTTGAAACCGAGGAGGCGACTGATACTTTCAGAAGAATGTAAAATGACACTTTTAGTAACGTAACACATATATGGGACATGGGAATTAAGTTTCTATTGTGAAATACAAGGGATATTACTAGTCCTTATAACAGGGGTCGTCAGGATGCCTGACAGATGTTGAAAAGCAATCAATATATAACACGGTATAGGTGTTAATAAAATGATGAATTGGTTGCCTGTTGATGCACATTCATTTAAGCTGTAACATTTGACTTACATTCCACAGATTCCACAGAACAAGTTGCGGTGGACAGGGTGATGTAAACATTTAACACATGCTCTAGAATAACTACGCACACATACTCAATTCATGTACGATATGCTCTTGAGATGCCTATACAGATACTACAAATAACAATTATATTTCAGGTGACATTTGTTCAAAGACAGATTTGAAGGTGATACATCATCCAAAAAACTGCAAAAAACATGTCACATGCTATGGAGAACCTGAAGGTTACGAAGAATGTGAAGAGATGTGTGTGAAGATTAACAATGGAAATTCTCATTCATGTGTTGACTGCAATGAAGATGTCTGTCCCAAGGAAGGTAACTTTTTAACGCTAATGTAGAAATTTCATGAATTTGTAAGATGTATGTTAATATCATGGCATTCACAACATACAAGAACTTTTAAATTCCTTAGAGTGGCCATTCGTAGAGACTATATATTCCAAATACATAAATGAACTGCTAGGTATGATAATAGTTGATATATAAGAAAAAAATGATATTGATTTTAAAGTCTATTGTCTTGAATTACTTTTATGGTGAAAAGGACTTGGATAATTCCATATGATATCCTGGAGCCGGCTTTTTGTCTGTCACCAATTCCTGCCCGTGACTACTTCTATCAACACTTATCCATCTCAGTTTTGTATGATTTGTAAAACTAAAGGGACTTTTAATACACCTGATGAAAACCTACTGGTTTTAGATCACCAGGCAAACATAACTTTTTTATTTGATCAAACTAACTCTTTTATATCTGCCGTTAAAAATTTGGGAATTTATTCCCATGTGCATTTTTGTAACATTTTCAGCAGGTTGGTAATGTAAATAGAATATAAGTTCTTATAACACAAACAGTGGGAAATTAGAGTGTGACGTTGTCGATGACTACACAGTCTAACACCCTATAGTTCTTTTTATAACACAACCAGTAGAAGATTTAAGTGTGACGTTTCAATGACTACACAGTCACCTTATAGTTCTTATAACACAACCAGTAGAAGACTTAAGTGTGACGATTCAATGACTACACAGTCACCTTGTAGTTCTTATAACACAACCAGTAGAAGATTTAAGTGTGACGTTTCAGTGACTAAACGGTCACCGTATAGTTCTTATAACACAAACAACAGAAGATGAGAGTAAGACATTTTGATGACTACACGGTCACCTTCATCAGACAAAAACCAGTGTGGCGCCTATTAGCACTGACATACCTACCTGGTGTACTACATGGTGCAGAATTAACCGACTTTTTCGGCTGCACTCACACTCTTATCTTCTGGTTGTCCAATCAAACCTTCTGTTCTACATAGTCCCTTTTGGTCATAATATGGAAAAGCTTGATATCTCGACATTGCTTTAACCAAAGAGATGGACACACATGTTTTGTGTATCTCATGGTCTGTCTCCCCACTGTTGGGACTAGGAAATTCTTATGTACTTTACTTGTTGGTTTTATAAATATCTGTTGTTAAATACTCATTTGATCTTTAAAAATTCAACTCATGTCCTTGAAATCTTCAGATACAACAACAGTTCCAGTTACCACTACTTCTGGACCATCGTGTAAGATTTTCTCTTTATCATTAAATGCAAGACTAGGTAACCTGAATCAAAGAAATACTGCAAAACATAAATCTCACTCAAAATTGAAACTAAAATCTCTGTTTAATTGAGAACAAATTACAAATTCAAAATTACAAAAAATATTATTTACTCTATGCGCACTTATGAATGAAAACATGTCAACTACAAATCTAACCAACCTGACAGCTAAAGTATGGCTGCAGATGCTGGTAAAATTTACATTGTTTTGTTTGCATCTAGAATACCCCTGGGGATTATGTGATGAAAGTCTCATTTGTTCTATAGATTTCATTCTATAATTTCGAATACCAAATGAATAGCACATTGAAGAAAAAAAAAGAAATCAAACATGTTTGCTATATTTCGGGGTTGGTTTCTCAATATGCCAAAAAAAGATGAATAGAATATGTTTGCAGAAATTGAATGGTAAAGTGTGTAAAATATGATTGACTCTGATTAAATGAACTGTTTTCATTTACATAGCTGGAAGATATTGTGGTTTATTAAAAAAGGGGGGAAATGCCAACGTGTATATATTTTTTTCTATTCCAAAATATTAGTAGTCATTCAGTGTGATATACAAAAGGGAATATCAATGCTATTTTTATTTGCAGTGCTGATGTGCAATGACATATCTGGCTATACCGATGACTCTGCCTCGGTTCAATGTCAAATTACAAGCAATGATTTTGACACCATATTCCTATCTCATATGTCATCGTCTGGGTCAGACCTAGTGTCGTTGGGAAGTCTGACGAAAGCACCAGCTGTTGTCACGACAACGGATCCTTTGTGGGATGGCCTTGACCTTGTGTACAATATGGACGGGTCACTGAAATATATCAACGTGTCAATACCAAAAGTAGCATGTGAAATGGATGGCATGTTTTATCTAAATTTAACCAATGGTAACCTGTCATCAGTGGCAACCTCTCAGTTTAATGTATTAGGTAAGTTCTTTTGTGTAGTATGTTATTCCCATACTGTAAATAGAAATAGCTATCATCCATTTATTTCATAAAGTCATATTTCATTTTCACTAAGTGATAATTTAACATATCAATAATGAAGGATAAGAAAGAAAAAAAAACAATATCCACGAAGGTCCTCAAAATATTGAAGGAGAATATTGCCAGGTGATTGGAATTTAAAGTTTTTGCTACTTCCTCGCCGTTTAAATCATGTTTTGGACATGAATCTTATGTCACATAAGTATAAGGCACGCTATTTTCTAATGGCACGGGAAAGTAACATACATAATAATACCATTACAATCACTACATTGTTTTTAAATTTAGAGTAGTCTTAATCAACAGACATCTCTCTAGGCTATTTTGTCTGTTAGAATTAGTACCATAAAACATTTTTTTTGTAGAACCTCCTGTGATGCCGTCTTCACTTTCTTTAACTTTTGCATCAGTTGGTGAGAATAATGCACAGACATTTACATGTGAAGGTGAAATCGGTACAAATCAGGGGACATTGACGTTGGAGATCTTTGATAAGTCATCTGAACAATTTAACCCAATCACAAGTGTCAACAGTCCTACCGATCAGAAGAACGGGTGTATGGTGACCCGGACCATAAAGACAAACTCGTTCCTATCTTTCAGTCAGAATGGTACTGTGGCAAGGTGCTCTGCTTCACTACATGACATTGAAAAGGCAAAGGATGTGATCATAACTTCTGATAATGTCACATTGCTTGTAATTCCATGTAAGTAATTTCTGCATTTAAGTTTACATTAAAGCAGAGCTTATATGCATGCATTTTATTATGTATATCAATAAACTAGCAGAAATGATATTTCATTAGATTCAAGGTCAGATATGCACAGCAACCTTATATCATTTTAAATGTGCATAAATTGATTCATTAACCTGATTTTGACACAAATTATCTGTGGTTATTTGATGAAGCCACTGAGATCTTTCTGCAGTGCATAATGATTTTTATTGTCTTCTTCAATAGTTTTGTAAAAGTTTCCAAAATGTCCACTAATTGGAGTGGCCTCTGCCACACCAATTAGTGGAAGACATTACTTAGTCAATCTGTTCCCTTCCATGTAAATTTTTTGCAGCATGTCAATTATTCATCATCCATTGTTGTTTCCAACACTTCTGTATGTTGATGAATACAAACTATACTCAGTAAATGAAATTTTCAAAGCTTGATCAAGTGCTGATGACAAAGAGAAGTCACTTCTGTCTATAAATAGAGCCGTTTTACAGTTAGGCTGGAAGAATTCTACTTGTTGCCCTCATTACATCATCAAATACAGAAATATTTTCTCTCTGTTTTCCAAGGACCTTCTTCTAAAGAATTTTCCTGGTACTCCTTAAGATAAGCCTATGGTCCTGTAAGGAAAGCGTTTGGCTCTGTCTCCTATCTGTTACATACCTAAGTCTCTAAAACTGGTAATTTCAACACCCTGTATAACTCTAGGCATTGTGGTATTGTAACAAAGGATAGGGTGTCCTGCTGAGAGTCTTCGCAAATACTTCAGCTCCACACTATTACAATAAGAAACCGTAATGACCGTACAGTTTAACTGTTGACAGGACATTGTACAGTAGGAAAATTAAAACTGAACTTATAAGTAGGCAAATTGGCATTACCATGGGGGGAAATACATTATGATTAAGAGCATGGCAAAAGTAGAAAACTTATAATTGAGGGGGGCAGTAGTATCGATTTGAAATAGATCGAGGGTGCACCGTATGTTGGAAATTTATCAAACATGATGATATATTCCAAATCATAATCTATAGCCTATGATTGGCTACTGTATGAGATTATTTGCTCTCATGCTTATAATTATTTACTGAAACCTTTGGGTCCGTCGCAGTGAATTTATTGTTAAAAGTCTATCTATTCATTTTATATCATGTTTATAATTGTTTATTGAAACCTTTAGGTCCTTCGCAGTGAATTTATTGTTACAAAGTCTATCTATTCATCTTATGTCATGTTTATTTTCGAATGTAAAATTTAACTGATCTGTCAAGACTAAAATCTTCGATTAAATTACGCCATGATAGCACTATATGAGGTAAATTCTTTAAGTAGTTTTATAGGGTAGATATCAATTATAGTCATATTAAAGACTAACAATTGTATTGAACACACCTTGTTATTTGGATTCTACATTATTGTAAAAATGTCTTAAGAATGATAACCAGCTCGTCAAATCAAGGTACTTACATCACTCAACCCAGTTTTTGCAAAGGATGTCTGTCATGCAGGCACATCAAAGCTAATAAAAGCAGCTAACAATGTCTGTTTATCTTTCACAGTGAGTGTGTGTGAACCTAACGACACGAAGGTGGCAAATCCGTACGACTGTTACCGATACGTGACTTGTGGGGATGGCGGAATAACGGACCAGCCATGTGGAGTTCTCTGTTTCAACCCGGTCTATAGTAACTGTTCTACACAATGTGATCACTGTAATCCAGGTAACGTTTAAAATCTCATTTTTGCTACGTATTAATGTGTCACCTCTCTAATGTATTACAATACATATTGTAATGACTCCTTTTAAAGAAAGTCTTATTATTAATGAAACATAATTCTAACGTATTTTTTCACAGGGGGTACATCAATAACAACGACGTCGACAAGTAAGTGTTTTGGAAATCATTGTAATACTTCAGAATGCTTAACGTAACTACATGGAGAGTAAACAGTTCTCTATTGATAACTTAGCAAATATCAGAGTTTTCCTAACTCAAGAGATATAAATGGCAGAGATGAATATTGATCAATTCTACCGTTTGCCTTAATTCGTTTAACCATCTTATTCTGATTTCAATGCATGCATTGTGTTTTATTCTTAAACTTTATATACATTAACTGATGTCCCATGCTGAGACTTCAAACCAAGTTTGAATTAAAAGAAGTTCCATTCAAGATTTGAATTTTCTTATACAAAATCTTACATCCAGGACCACCAGAACATCTTTGAAATTTCAGCCAATTCAGTCCCTTAGGGAGGAAATGAGACCCTGGGGTCATGAAATTTACAATTTTGGTAAATCATCTGCAAGTCTTTTCATCCATGAAGAGGATTTGATACTACCATATATGGGATTTGAGAAGACGATTTGTGAAGTTTCAATCGATTTTGGCCCCGCTCCTCAGGCCCCTTGGGGTTGGGGACCATACAATTTACAATGTTGTTGCGTCTTTAACCATGGAAGAATTTTTATAAAATTGGTTCAGGAGTTTTCCAAAAGAAGTCAAACATGTTGAAAATGGGGTGGCAATAACTCATCCTGAAACTTTGTCTAAGATGACCTAACTGCCACAGCTTAACCTAAATGTTTTCCGTAAAAGGTAGAAAATTTATAAAATTGCTATGTTAACAAAATCTTAACTCAAATTGATAGAACTAGGCCAAATAAAAAACAAAAGGAAAGATGTACATGGATACCCTTTGAAAAAAACAGTTCATACCTGGAAATGAAGTGTTGTAAACAACAAAATTACTGACAAGTCAGCAAATTTATACAGACGTAAATGAGCTGAAATACAGAGGTCAATTAGGTAACAGGTCTTTGTATATCATCTATACAACCAGATACTGAGTAAAGTGTAGACAATTTTTATTTAATTGTTAGATTCAATTGAATTATTATAATGTTTAATCTGTTTTTTGAGAACGACACATTGCTTATTTGTATTGACCTAACTTCGCATTTCTGGATGCTTACTCCTCCGGAACACCTGGTCGGTCTTATTCTACTTGTACTTTTTCAGGAGTTTCCATTTAGATCTTCCTTTTGCTCATAAGTTATCCCAATTTTATACACTTTGAATAAACAATCTGTTGACAGGTCAATATCTTTGTTGTTTGCAAATTATTAGTCAACTCATAATGTTTTCTTGTAACACTTGAACTATAAGTGTATTTGTGATTCTGATGAATGTGTTTCATAGCATCTGGGGTATATATTTCAATAATCAATGTTTAAATGATAAATTCGATTTATTATATGTTTTGCTATGATGGTAAACTTTTTCTTAACAAATTTTCAATTTCTGTTATTTGTGAATATCAATCGTAAATGGTAAATAGTGAATGTTGAGGAAATGGTAGCCTCATATTCATTGTATTAGTGGTAATGATACAATTCTATAAGCCCCCCCCCCCCCTTTATTTTTACTTCTTATGTTATCATAAGTGTTAGCGTCAGTATTGCAAACTAAATTGTTACGATATACAATGTAATGTACTGTTTCTCCATGTTATCCATTTCGAATTTTAAGAAAAATGAAAATATGTGGGGAAAAAAATAATACCAATTATCCATTAACCTTAACATTGCAGTGGCATCACCTACATCCAAAGGTACATGTATCACTGTTTTGGTAGTATATTTATACAATATATCATTTAATGAAACTACAAATTCTCCACCTCGCTGTTTTATATTCTATCTAACACAATAATCACTGTTCAGCCATCTTCAAACTATAATAGCATTTAATATGTTGTATTATAAATTGATCGTAACCAAGGGAGAGGAAAGAATTGTATCAAATAGATTCATATTCATAATGTTGTTTGGTATATTGACAATATTGGAAAGAGCTTAATAATTGAATTTTTTGCTCTGCTTTTATGTGCTGTTATGTAAAGAATGTGTCTATGAAGATGAATATAAATCAACTATGAAGTGTTGCTGAGTTTATACTTTCCTGAGTATCTATGACCAAACATTTCACTACATTTGGATATTTATATCGGTTCTGGGAGCTGAAATTTGCTTTATTCTCTACTAACAACATCTGTTTGATGTATGATTATTTGCACATATTTCATACAATATAATTATTGAATAGGACTATTGAAATTTTGTTATCATATTAATTAAAAGAAATTACATTTCGATCAAACATCAGCAAAAATATCACCATGAAGACAATACGCAGCTTAATCCAATGAATTATGTATTTACTGGCTACACTTACTTTACAAATGCTGTTTTCATTATTAATATTATTTTTGCAATATATACAGCAAAGTATCAGAGGAATATCTACATTCCATAGCAGTTAAATTAATCTAAATCATGTTGTTTGTTGCACTAGAAACATAAGTGAATAAATGAAGGGTTTACTAGAATATGTTTTAAAGTCTGTATACAGCTGTATGCAAAACTTTTATAATATAAGCCTGTTAATCACGTGTTTGTTTTAATTCTTGCCAATCTAGTTCACTAGAACTTGTAACTCATTACTGAAATATATAATATCACTTATACAATATAAATATACAATTACAGTCCCAGACAATCCGTTAGACTGTTCTAACTATCCAACTGGTTCATGGTACATACCACCAGTCAACATCTACCCCTCCAAGTGTGATCAATATGTCTGGTGTGCAAGTGGAACAAAAGTGGCTGATAAAACATGTTCGCCAGGGCAATATTTCACCAACTTCACTGAGTCAGCACAAACATGTACAGCAGACTATGAAAGCTCATTCTGTGCAGCATACGGTGAGACAACTAAAGATGTCAAACAATATTAAATTTATAGTGTTGATCATAGGATGACCTTCACTGAAGACATATAGACTGATTTGATAACATAAGAGGACATTTAAATAAATATGAAACTGCTCTTTTCATATTTTATTGAATGCTTAATTATTATTTTTATTTGAAAGAATGTTGTTTATAAGGAATGAGGTAAATATTTTCGCAGGTATTTATAAAATCCCGAAGTCATCCGTGAAGCATTTTATAATTGACATATAATTCGTTTTTTGTAGGTGAGCGACATACAACCACTACTGAAGCAGGTAATCATTACATATCATAAGTATGCATACATTTCGCTCAAGCTAATTTATGTTGATTTGCTGTTACCGAATACTCAATTAGCATGTATGTATGATACCATTGGCTCTTAAGGTACTATTTAAGGAGTTGTTTGTCTTTCAGTGACAACAGTACTAACAAGCACAACCCTGTCGACTACCACAGCTTTGCCAGGTCAGTTATTATTTGTTTTCATTATGTTTTCTAAGTCGATAATGAAAGTATGCCATTCTGAAATAGTCCATTACGAAATTTATAATTTGTTTAGATAAAAGTAATATGGCCTAAAATGGCATCATTAGGGTCACTTCGCCTCCCAAGTTTCAAACTAAGTTCATCCATTAGTATGAGTGTCGAGCCCTGGAGACATGAAACAGCTTTATGGTGAAGGTTAATTCATTTTGACGGTACTGATCTTAGTTTTACTTTTTCATTGAAAAGTGTTATTCACTTGTGTGTCTTTTGTGCAACTGTCAGCAGATCATTTTATAACATAATGTTTTTTCTCTTGTTGTCGACTAGTGTAGATGTAGATAAAATTCTCATAGAACTTAAACTCTATAATAAAAATGAGACACATCTGAACTATTTTAGATGTACATCCTAATTTAATAGTACTGAAAAACACAATGTTTGTAACTAAATATTTCATCATATATACTTTGTGATATGCAGACAGAGTGAGTAGAAATGAAAGCAACAAGATATTTATGGAAGATGATTTTCAATATGAGGAACAATAATACGAAAATAATCATGTTACAGATGTATCCTTCGATCAGCCAGAATATGTTGGTGTACTTGGTGGAAGCGGGCTAACCATGACGTGTAGGATCATTAATTCTACCTGGAAATATATTGATGTAGTTCGCCTCGATCCTGCCGAAGATGTGCTTGTTGCTCGGGTAAATGGATCTACCATAAGTCAGCCATTATCTCCCAGAGTAACCACTAGTATGAGTTCGGGAAATGTGGTCGTTGATTTTACCGCTGTGGAGTGCACTGATGCAGGAAATTATGTCTGTGTATTGAATGATGACGCATCAGCCAAGATTCAATCACCAGATTCAGTCTTACAAGTCCGACGTAAGTAAAAGTTGTCCCTGACATAAAGATGGACATCTTTTATTAGTGAAGTAGTTTCATTGTATTTTATTCTGCCGAGATCGGTGATGTTAGATTACATGTGCAATTCGTTTTTATTTGATTGAGAGCAACCCTTACCAGGATGCATATGATGGTAATTTAATTTCATTATCAAGCAGACAATTGAAAATGTTGCTGTCATTTTGTCAAATATCATGACAATAGAATGTGACATAATGAAAAATTTAGCTATATCCTGGATCAAATTTGTTAAAAAATGAACCAATGAACAAATAAAATTCATTCGTAAGGTAGAATCAACCAATTTGTATAGGGTTGCCTTACACTCATAAGCCAAAGGTCAGGAAAGGGCAGATTCAATAGCAGTCTGTGCTCATATTTGGATGAAAAAAGATTGCTTAGATTTCCGGAACAGCAGTCGTTGTATCCTATGACATTATTAATGATATTTCTGTGTTATTTTTTGTTCTCAGAACAATGATATCTAATTGAATACGTCAGAAATTGGAATAAGATTTAAGAAACAAGTATTTACATACATATTGCAGGCTGTCAACCAATTCCTATATTCCTATATGTTCCTATATTTTGGTTCAAAAACCTATATTTTGAAAGACCTCCTATATTCCCTATATTTTCCAATTTTTTGAAAAATATTCCTATTGTGTTGTCAATATTTCTTTGAAGCTGCTTTTGGCTTCTTTACTTTAAAAGTTGGAGAGTTCTTCTGTCTTTAAAAGCATCACCAGCCACCAGAAAATGATTCAATGCATCTCTTTATCACCTGTATGGGCACCTTGCAAGGCAGTACAACAGGATATTGGCCTTTTAGGTGCCCATTCAGATGATGATGATGAGCTATGCAGCAGCTCTCTGCCTGGATTGTGGTGCCGTTGAATTGAATGGTTACTTTAAGGTAGTATTTGATTATTTATTAATATAAAAACAGTAACTGAAGGTAAGAATTGTTAGTATAAATGCCTTTGAAAGAAACAATTTTTGTTTGGAAAACTCTTATACTTAGCCTCAAAACTAGCAAAAAAAACTCCTATATTTGTTGAAAAAATATTCCTATATTCTTCCTATATTTTGAAGAAGACTTGGTTGACCGCCTGATATAGATTTAAGCAAAGTATATACATGGAATAGATGAAATTAACTTTAAAATACTGTAGAATAGGGAAAATGCCAAGCAGATGATGAAAATATGCTAACTCAGATTCCATGCTCTACTTAATTCGTAGTATATTTCTAATATCTAGGTCCTCCATCAGTTCCGACGCTTGACTTGAATGCTCACCAAATCGTTGGCTCAACCTTGAACGCTTACCATAAACACAAGTGTTTGGGAGATGTGGGTTATCCTGCTGGAGAGTTCAAAGTTCAGTATGCAGCCTCAGGATCTTCAATATTCAGTGAACTTTCCGTCTCAAATATTAAAACCACACCGAGTGAGTGGCTCTGTAACAGTACTGAACGAACGATGGAATTTGAGATAGACTTCCAGGCAGACATGGACGGGGGAGTGATCAGATGTGACATACATAATCCTCTTTTTAGTTCAACAACATACTCAAATAACGTAACAATTGAGTTAATTCCAGGTAAGTAAAAAGAAAGAAATTGAAAGATACCATTAAATGCCTCTAACAATTATAACAATAAATATGTGCAATCAGAGTCATAATGCAGTTGGAATTTGTGATGCATTTGAATTTACACAAAACAGTAGATCATGTTGCATTCATTTCAGTCTTGTTATTCATCTTACAGAATTGGAAATAGATTTTAAACAGAAATAAGATAAATGATTAACAATTATGTGAGAATTATTAAATAGATATTGAAATATTGCGATACTATCAATTTTCAGTCTTTTATAAACTCGCACCATTAAATTTCTTAATAATTTACTCAGTATAAGTTATAGCCATAGTGAATTTTCATAACTATGTTTGACATTATTCAGGTGATATTTGCAAAACGACAAATGAGGATACGATACATCATCCAAGAAACTGCAAGAAATATGTTACATGCTATAATGAGCCGCGGGGTTACACTTGTGGTGGATCGTGTGTTAAGATTGACAACGGAATTTTTCAGTCATGTGTTGAATGCAGTGAGGACGTTTGTCCTAGAGATGGTAATAGAGGGGGGTTCGCTTTACCATGGCCTATTTTCTGTAATTTGTATATTAATATAATCAGTGGAAATCTTTCATTTTCTTTCATTTAGACAAATTTTGATTCCATTTTATTGATTTACTTTTGACATGTCAGTATTTTCTGTATTGTATTTGAACCTTTATAAGAGACAATGCCATATCTATATCGTATAACGTGAATTGCAAATAAGTGGCAGGCAGGTGGAACGATATTTTTCGTCTATATAAACAGATAATTAGAATATCTTTTTTAGGTTTGAAGTAAAGACTAATCAAACCCTGTAGATAAATATTCATTGTAGCTTCAATTATCTGTACTTGTTTGCTATGTACTTTTTCAGAAGAAACAACTACACCAGGGACAACAACCGTTTCTGGACCATCGTGTAAGTTTAAATCACTATCAGTATCATTCCAAATCATATGGTGCTTACATACATTTTGTGGGTAAATTGGTAAAAAGTTGAGAAATAGACAACCGGATATGTTTGTTTTTTTCCGAAAAGCAAAGTAAGAGTCTCTCACGTCCGGAAATACTCCCCCAGGTGAACACAAACCTGGTTTTAACTACACTTTTTCTCAGTCAGTATATGTCATCGTTGAATGGTTGACTTAATGTCATTATAATAAGTAAATAGGACCAAACAACACAGTGGGGCGCAGTGGTAACGCACTCGCCTTTCACCTAGCCAACCGGGGTTCGATTCCCGGAACGGACGTGAAAAGGTAAGGGGTCACAAGCTCGACCACGTGGGTGTTCCCCGGGTACTCCGGTTTCCTCCCACAATAAGACCCCTCGCGCTAACAAGAGTGATTAGTATAAGTTGACATAACTTGTTTCGCAATTGTTGTAAAAATAAATAAAGTTTATTATAAACAACACATTAGATTGTCTGGTCCTATTTACTTATTGTTCTACACTCTTTGGAGCCAGACTCGGTATTCCTTTTCGGAATCCGCCTTTTGGAGACAGCCGAACTTGCCGAACATGTGCTCCAGATATTGGGTCTCTTACTTTTTTTATTAATGTTAGTCTAGTTTGTAGACTAATGACGATATTTAGTCATTACTTGACCCCCCTCATGCTTTGTAAACACAGGCTAGACGTTTTATAAATGGATGATGGTATGATGAATTTCAGATGTTAATTGTTTAAGTCTCTTTGGCTATCAATTACTAAATAAAGACAGCAATATAGAGTGAAAGTTTACAAGGACCAATAGCTTCAACGTGGATTATCGTTCGACATCCTTATTATTACTTATAGTTTTTCGGAAAATAGCTAACCTGCTTGATTAAATAAATACAAGTTTTGTGGAAATGCAGAGCAATATATATTCCTCTGAAAGCATATGAAAAATCTGGAGAACTACTGTCACTTTGGTTTGGAGATCGATACCTAGAGTATTTGGTACATCAACACTATTATCTAAACCATGTTACCACATATAATGAGACCATATTAAGGTAATGTACATACTGATACTCATCTGATTTTTACCTGACCTTATTTGTTGCCATGTCCATTTGTCTTTACAAGTCCCAGATTAGGTTTTATACCTGAACGTACAAATGTAATTGATTTTGTTCAAAATGTAACAGATAGTAGATAAAACAGTGATTTCACATGGGTTTTTTTTCATATGCAATGTAAATTAATTGACATTTAATATATAATTGGTAAATATTTAAGAAAGTTGTCTGTATCATAATCTATGAAAATTTTCACTGGGGTTCAATATAAACACTTGCATATATATTTATCACAGTAAAACAAGTAACTACCAGATATATAGGATTACAAAGCAGTATTTACCAATCTAGACAAGTTACATTGTAGTAGCCCACTACTCATTTTGTAAGGCTGAAAGAGCAGAGAAATTGTACCAGAGCCATATTGTGAACTAGAGACCGAGGCTTGGGCTATGTTTGTACAGCATTATTGTTATTATTATCCGTAAAATGATGGATGTTCAATAAGAGATAAAGATGATAGAATCTGACCACATTTAACCAAAAAGAGTGAGCACATCAAGCTGGTCTCAAAGATGTTAGTTTTAATGGGACTGCATTCAGTGCAGTACTCCACATCGGTATGATCAAAACGTGCATTTCATAAGCTTATGCTGCAAAAACAAACTTTTCTGTTAATGAAGAATTGGTGTAGATAAACTTTAAATAATTTTTAGTAACTGGTGGAGCAGGAATTCTTTGGGGACTACCTATTGCTTTTTTTGTTTTGTACACACTACTTCTCGTTAGAGGATGCAAGCAGATACATTTCGGAAACCTTATATTTCATGTCAGAACACAAGCATTATTCAGATGAAAACCTAAACTTGTGTGATCTGTGATCAGGAACAGAACAGAATCATTCCTTTAATGTATATTAGAGAAATAAACTGAGATTTTATAGTTTAAAAGAAATGGATTATGTTGTTCATTTACAGACCTGATTTGTGATGATATGTCGGGATATACTGGTGAGGCTGCCTTTCTTCAATGCCGTATAACAAGTAACGATTTCGACACAGTTATCCTTTCGCATACATCCGAAACATCTACGGATTCAGTGTCTTTATGGAAACTCACAAAATCATCCTCTGCTAAAATGACAACAGATTCTATATGGACTGATCTCAAAGTTACATATCACACTGATGGCTCGATTAAATACATTAACACTACCGTATCTACTGTAGCCTGCGAAATGAGTGGAAAGTTTCATCTGAATTTAACAATGGGTGAACTTTCCTCAGTAACAACCTCCAATATCAACGTTTTAGGTAAGTGCAATAGATGTGAAAAACTGTCAAATTTTCTTTTTCAAAATGATTCATCATTGTGAATAACGTATTTGATGGTGAAATAACAAAGACAATGTCAACATGTCGGTAAAACTTTATTGATTAAGTTGCATATATTTCAGTTAAACCGACTACTGCGCCAGCAATATCCCAAAGGAAGTATCTAGATGCCTCCACTGGGCATATTGAATGTAAGGGTGAAGTGGGAAACCCGCCTGTCCAAATGGCTCTTCAAATCGCAAATGGGACTTCAAATAGCTCAGTTACACTGACGTCAGCGCCAGCTGGTGACGACATAAAGGATAGGTGTACATTCAGGAGAACGATCAGGTCAACTGCATCCCTCGCCCTGCTAAATGGAACTGATGTCAAATGTATGACGTCATTCTCTGATAGTGGAACAAATACACCTACCACACTGGAATCAAATTTAACGAAAATATTTCTTGTTTCTAGTAAGTTTGATTGCTCTTTTGTAGATGAAATTATTACAGAGTTTGAAGATGATATGCAATATTGTTCTGTTGATATTCCTTGGTTTGCAATTGAGAGAATGTTTAGGTTTAGGTTTCCATATCTGATGATTATTAAAATGATTTGATAATGTTTCACGAAAATTCTTCATCACAGCTTATCTTTTTGGCAATATTTTACTAGGCTTTTACACACAGTATATCTTTGTTTCTCAGGTCACCTTTTCATTATTATATTTTAGGTAACATTTGTGAGTCTACCAATGCCTCGTTCATCCTCCATCCATACGATTGCCATCAATTCATCCAGTGCGGGGACAGTACCACCACTGAATCAGCATGCCCAGGAACTACATGTTTTACAATACCTGGTAACAGTTGCAGCCATAATTGTAGTAGGTGTCCATAGATTTTATAATAACGCTGGGTGAAGGACAACATACATATTAAAGATTACAAACATCAAAGGAAACTTTTTTTATTAATTCTCCACTTTTGACTTCTTTGAAAACTGCTTCATTAAAACAAAACAATCCCTGATACCATGAAGCTATATGAGACAAACATAAGAATATGTTATATTACTGATCATAGAAATATAAAAAACCGTTTACACAAATCCAATTAATGAATGTGAAATAATTAAACCATATACAATGTAATTTAAATTCTTGATACCTGTATCTGGAAATCATGATTTTCTGCACAAGGATCATGATATTGCTTGTAATGAACGAGATGTGATGAAGTTTAAGATGCGTAAGTTTGGTATATTTAGGTAACTCTGTAAAAATATACATACTATTATTATTATGGAACCAATCATATAAAGGTATGGAATGCTTAACGATAGGTATTTGATCTGTTTAAGATGTGCGGGAATGTTTTGCTTGTGGTCATGTGCCCATTCTCTATACGATGTCGTCATTAAATATCGCCATGGTATGAGGTTTGCGTTGGTAACAAAGAATCTGTCTGCCCTACTGATAAGGAACGATTGATTGCAAAGCAGGAAATGAAAATAAAAAAAGCAGAGAAAAAGATCAGAATTGGTTTACCAAATTACTGGAAAGCAGTACATTCCTAACTAAAATGATCGGATAATTAATTTTTTATGAGGAAGAGATTTAAAACATAACTGCATTAGGAATATTTTACAGACTTTGTTAAAAAAATTCAAATATAGACCCATTCATTAGCAAGATTTTGGTAAGGATATCAAGACACAATCATCTGCTTGTGTTCGTTATCTAAATCTATTCAAATTTATAGATATTGAAAGATATTTTTTTTTAATTTCTGATACCAATGAGTTAAAGAAAAAAAGTAATATGCATATGACATCTACACATTGTCTGATGTCACAAAGGACATAATTCTGTGGATTTGACATGACATATCGTACATGTAAATGCTTTACATATGCCAAAGGAAATCATTGACTCTGAAACTGCCATGTGTGGCTTTATAACGACCATTTCTCTTTCACTTTCTCGTTAATTAATTTTACTAAAGTAAAGCAACCTACATGCCTTAATCTTATATTCGCTCAATGTTACATTACATTGTTTGATGTAAATGAATACTTTGTCATGTCTGAACATTCTTGTAAACTTTTATTTACGCTGTTGACGTTGCAGTATATGTTTTCCTTGTGTGTTGACAGCGTGGACCATTACAATATGTGTTGATTTTGTGAAATTTTCTGTCCTGTTTTTTATGGATTCAAGACTTACCAGAATGCTTTATCAAGTCTTTCGTATGATGGTTGATGTCTAGTTACATGATCTTTAAATATACTAATTTATACGTAATTCATTGATACATGTCCTTCAACAAGACAAATGCAAAGTCTATCATCGAAAGGTTTTGCTTCATTTGTTGTCTCTGTAAATAGTAGTTAAATGTAAAGTTTTATGCATGTAATTGCATTCCCGATAGATGATATCATGAAAATGCAAAACTTACAAGAATTATGTTTAATTTGTCTCTAACATGCATTGCTATATATGTATGTGCATTGCGTGTAACTACCAGAATTATTGAGTTGTACGATGGAAACCAGTAAATTTGAAAAGAAAACTATTATTGAGACAGCATTAAAAATATATGTACAATATCTCTTACCAGGGAATATATTTGATGTAAATGTATCAAATTTTTGGGTAGGATAGAAACGATCATCCCACCAAAACACCTATGGTTTCGTGTGCTGTTGTCCTTTGTTGGATCTGCGCCATTTTTTTTTATCATTAATATTGTTGTAAGCAATATATCATAGATACATATATATATATATGTTATTTGATACACTTTTTATGATGTTGATACTTAGTTTTAACAAAAAAAGGGGAAAAAATTTTAAACATATTTTATTTTGGATATGAATGGGACATAAAGGACAATTTATGCATTTAGTACTTCTGATCAAAGACTTGTATATATAAGCAGTGTAGTTAAATGCAGCAGCCATCCCCTTGCAGCTTGTTTAATATGTTAATTCATTCGTAATTTTAACGACATAATACCTAGCGTATGTTTCTGGAATAGTGAAAGGTAACAAATTATTTATAATGATTATATTAAGTATTTACCACAGTATAATCACTTTCATGTAGTATCGACACTAATGACAAATGTTAATTATTCTACACATACATGTAGGATATTTTACGGTCAAGTGAGGGTGTATTTGGATGATTGAATAGTGTACACTGTATTACAATTTGTAATATATTAGGCTGATGTTCTGTTTTGCTAATCGATAGTATACCGTCCAGTTATGCACATTGACAGTGAATCACAGATCATATATTTATCTCTTGAACATAAGATTTTTTAAAGATGATATATTTTTGTATAAACTATTTTAAAGTTTTTATTCTGATATATTTTCCTGAAGGTTAACATTATTTTATAACTTCATCTCTGTCTTAGTTTTCATGTGAAACTAATAATGGACATTGATGCAAATATTTATCTATGTATGATACATGCAGTTCAAATTCATCAATAAAAACATTTATAAAAACAGTGATTTGTTTAACATATTTTGTGTGGTTTTTTTTTTTTTTTTTTTTTTTTTTCTGTAAATCAAGGAATATGAATTTCCAGTCTGTAATATAGGCATTATATAAAAATCACTTCATGATTTGTAACACTATATCAGTAAAACTAAAATGGGTAGAAGTATACTACAGAAACAAGCTTATATATCTATATTTCTAACTCTGATATCATCAATCTATTTGGTTCTATTTTTGTTTTTTGTTTTTTTTTTTTTTTTTTTTGGTGTTGGGTTTTTTTTTTTTTTTTTTTTTTGTATTTTGTTTGTGATGAAGAGAAATGTTTATTATTAATCTCATTTGTAAGATCACACTGATATTCTTACATTACACTATATGATCTTGAATTGAAAATTTATATGTAATAAAAAGGAATAAAGGAAATCACACTGTCGCCGCTGGGGTTCGAACTAGTGACCCTTTGATCTCTAGCCAGACATTTTACTGCTCGACTAATGGGGAAATTCCAACTTGCTGAGGCTAGTAAGATGTACTCTCAACTATTACACTACTTCCTTCTTCACAAAGTCTTCAACCCTGTTGACAACAACCCAGGTTAAAAATCTCCAAGGAAGCATCTCAATCCCCTTGAGCTTGTAATATCGGAGTGGTCAACTGCACCAAATCTATAATAGGAAGGACCCTTTGGTCTTTAGCCAGACATTTTACTGTTTAACTAAAGGGGCATTAAGACATGTATTTAGTCAATATACCATTTAACACAATCAGATGTAGTAAGCACTTAACCAGATCAGCAGATCTAGAGCGCGAGATATTTAGAATTGTTGTCACCTCCGATATGGTAGCACATGTACAGGACACTAAACTTTGGTTTTTTTCACGGAAGCAGTTTAAGGTACCTACATTGTATATGGTTTTAAGAGACTGCGGTGGCCAAGTAGTTAAAGCATCCTTCTTTTTCACCTCCACCTCTGAGTTGCAGGTTTGAGGCCTACGTGTTGGTTTTTATACAGGAACTCCAGCTTGCCTCCACCACCTCCACAATCTTAGATACAATATTACCAGATCAATGATGCATCATACTGCTTTGTTCTACTACAATTTGTCAGTTATCAACAGGTATCCAAGGTGACTAAGGAAAATCATGATTTTAAATCATGATTTTATCGTAAACAAATTTTAACTATACAGACTGGAAGTTCCAGAATGCAGGACACCTCAAGTTTTGAAATTCAGATTGCGACATGGGGAAAACAAATTGTTCAAAATGTCAAAATGTGGATGGAGAGATAGACTGATCCAGTGTCAGTAGCAAAACATGAACAACAAGCAAGGAAAATGAGACATGCATGAAAACTAAAGCCCATACTAAATATGTCATCTTGGTGTCTTTCATTTCTCCTGTTATTCTTTACAATGGCTGTCTCATACTGCAACTGTAAAAGTTAAATGACATTTGAAGTTTCAAAATGTAGTGACAGACGACTTCAACTATCTAAGTCTGTGATCCATACTTGTGTCAACATCAAAGTTGGTACACACTGCTAGGAACTATTTCAAAGAAGTCTTAAAAGTTTTGTTAAAATACCTTCATAGTGATATAATACATTTTCTATATCTACTTCATTAATACATGGGTTATGGATGAATGTGTATTCATACAGGCTACAACAACACTTTACTTTCTTAACTATTTTGTCTTTAAACGAAATTTCTTTGTTTGAATCACAGATAGATGCTACATTTTCCCAAATGTATACCTAAAAGGTCTATCAGTGATGAAGTTAGCACGGAAAGGTACTAAAATACACATGATATGTAAAAACACTGTCTTTTTGTGCCAATATTTTTTATTACTTCGGGCTGAAAGCAGGAAATGCTTTGGAATATAATAATTTTAGGCTATTTTGTGGCTTTTACTGCTGGAAGTTATTAATTCTTACTTCTCTAGGAAAAATATTGCTTTACAAGCAGTTTTTCTTTATAAACTGAAAAAGTTTAAATGAAAGAATGTCACTTTAACAGAGACAGTGATTGTCACCAGATGCGACCTAACAGTATCATTAAGGGATACTATACAAATGATACTGCAAAGGACAAAAAATAGGTACATTGTATATAGATTAAAAAAGTTCCTAGAATAAGAAAGAAGAACCAACATCCTTGTTGTTGTTGATCAGTACTAGTTTGTATATTGTACAAATGACATAATATTTTTATGGCTACTATTGTTTAGTCACTAGAGGTCCATATAGGCAGGTGGTAAACACAAAAAATGAAAGGTGTGGAACATCAGCATTGTTCCTCCTAGATAGGCCAGAAGTCATCAGAAACATTTATATTGCACATATGGAATAATTATAGAAAACAAAACATATCAAGTCTTCATGAATATAAATTTATTAAAGGGGTAAATAACAGGATACAAAAGTGAAAATATCACAGTTATGAATCAACTCTTGATTACAATGTATGTACAATAAGTTCAAGTACATATAAATATTCTTTCGATTAGTTCTGAAATAACATCAATCTATTTGTTAAAATTGTAGATATAAGAATCTAAAATTTGATCAATAAAATTGGACAGGCACAGAAAAAGGGATCATTTATCATTACAGATTGAAATTACTTAGCATAAGTATGTTAACCCCCATGGACACCCATAGAGATTGAAATTACTTAACATAAGTATGTTAACCCCCATGGACACCCATAGAGATTGAAATTACTTAACATAAGTATGTTAACCCCCATGGACACCCATAGAGATTGAAATTACTTAACATAAGTATGTTAACCCCCATGGACACCCATAGAGATTGAAATTACTTAACATAAGTATGTTAACCCCATGGACACCCATAGAGATTGACATTACATAAGTATGTTAACCCCCATGGACACCCATAGAGATTGACATTACTTAACATAAGTATGTTAACCCCCATGGACACCCATAGAGATTGACATTACTTAACATAAGTATGTTAACCCCCATGGACACCCATAGAGATTGACATTACTTTACATAAGTATGTTAACCCCCATGGACACCCATAGAGATTGACATTACTTTACATAAGTATGTTAACCCCCATGGACACCCATAGAGATTGACATTACTTAACATAAGTATGTTAACCCCCATGGACACCCATAGAGATTGAAATTACTTAACATAAGTATGTTAACCCCCATGGACACCCATAGAGATTGAAATTACTTAACATAAGTATGTTAACCCCCATGGACACCCATAGAGATTGAAATTACTTAACATAAGTATGTTAACCCCCATGGACACCCATAGAGATTGAAATTACTTAACATAAGTATGTTAACCCCCATGGACACCCATAGAGATTGAAATTACTTAACATAAGTATGTTAACCCCCATGGACACCCATAGAGATTGAAATTACTTAACATAAGTATGTTAACCCCCATGGACACCCAATTACAACTTTTCATTGATTCAATCATTCACACAAATTGTGACCTACACTTGTGAGTGTGTCCTGTATTCTGCTCCATCTTGTGTCTGTATTACCTAATTTTACCTCTATCTCGTGTCTGTATTACCTAATTTTACCTCTATCTTATGTCTGTATTACCTAATTTTACTTCTATCTTGTGTCTCTATTACCTAATTGTACCTCTATCTTGTGTCTGTATGACCTAATTTTACCTCTATCTTGTGTCTGTATGACATAATTTTACCTGTATTTTATGTCTGAATGACCTAATTGTACCTCTATCTTGTGTCTATATGACCTAATTGTACCTCTATCTTGTGTCTATATGACCTAATTTTACCTCTATCTTGTGTCTATATGACCTAATTTTACCTCTATCTTGTGTCTATATGACCTAATTTTACCTCTACCTTTGTCTGTATTACCTAATTTTACCTCTATCTTGTGACTGTGTGATCTGCATATTACTTCTACTCTACCTGTTCCTGTGTGACCTTATTCCTACTCTTTAAATCAGTGACCTGATTCTACAAATTAATACTTCATCACAAGCACTTAAGCTGCCAATACATATACATGTTTTACTCCTGCGTATTTTCAACAAAGGATGATGGTCCATTGAATGGATTCTTCCTGCTGATGTTCATACGGAATACCATCTCGTAGGGATAGGGAAGTTCCTCACTTGAAGCTGTGTCTAGTTCCTCCATCTGTAATAGGTTGTAATAAAAGGGAAAAGTACTTATCTTTTTTTATTATTCTGTGAAACAAATGATAGTGTTTATATAAATTAAATTCTGAATAGAGTTCAATATCTGTCCTTGCTGTGTTATCTAGCTGCTGTAATTAATGCCTCTGTCCTGATTAACTCCTCTCCGTCTTTTCCAAATTAATGTGAAATAATTAACACCTCATATCCATCTTAACAAAGACAAGCTCCACATGTTTTATGTGTATAGTTATGTTGCAATTGAACCTACACTGAAGAAAAAATAATTTCACGTCTGTATCTCAGAACCGTACAAACATGACTTGTATCTAATTGAGTACATGGAAACCAACCAATCATATTTCCTCTTTCACAAGTATAGATCAAGTCTCAATTGCCTCTGTACACCAAGGGAGCTCAATCCTCCAGAATGACAAAAGAATGTCTCCTTCACTCTGGAAGTCCTTACAGGACAAAGATTAAATCCCTTTATCGAAGTAGAAGAAGCATTCTCCCTACCAGCTCTTACCCATCTGCATCCATGGGGCTAGTTTATATCAATTTGTTTTCTGTTGTGTAAAGATGCTATTACATCAATGTCCCTTCATCAGAAGAAAAGAAGATACTAATATTTATTTACCCTGTTGGGCCCCGCCCCCTGCTAGAAGAAAGAGGGCAGTGGAGGCAAATTTTAATTTTTTATTTAAATGAAATAGAATAATTTTCACGGAATAATTTTTAAGACCATGATTGGTCAAAATCCCTGTATCAAAATTGATAACCCGATTTGTGCCCCAACCCTCTGACTATGGTCCAAATAAATCCTCTATTTTTACATTTATCTATACACACCTCCTCTTTGGTAATTGTCCAACCTGTGCTGGCTCCCATATTGTCCTCCAACTGTTTGATTGAAGTGGCACCAATTATCACTGAGGACACCACATTCTTCTGAAGAAGCCACCTCAGCGCCACCTGGGGTACACTTTTACCTACATACAAAAATGTTTACAGTATATTAAAGAGTATCAATATCTAATGTGATGTTATTTGTTTTTTATGAAAGCTGTTACAGTAGAAATAGACCTTGTGTATCATGACAAAATTGGACTGTACACATATTTATTACTTTTACAATGCTCTGTTTATTTTCAAATAAAAATATATATCATTAAGTAAAATAAATTTAAACGGAACTAGATATATTTCAGAAACTCTATGCCCTCATGGTGAACAAAAGTGGGATAATCCAGTGAAAAATAATTTGGAATGTATATACTAATTTAAAACAAGAGGCCCAATCTGGCTTCAACATTGCAACCCTACAGCCAAATACTATGATATTTGATCTGCCTGCTACTGAGAAGTTGCTTAAATGGAAAAGTCAACTCTGGAGAGATGACGAAGGACGGACAACACATAACAGCAAAAGCTCACTTGGCCCTTCCAGCTAGGTGTGCTAATAAGAATAAACTTCTAATTAAGATACAGGTTGATATGAAAATCAGGAAACATACTCTACAAATTCAAGAAAATAAAATACAACTAAAACATATTTAAGTCTGCCAAACAAAGTGGCTCACTTTTTGGTTTTACCAAATCTCTTACAGTTTTTTCTTTCTTTTAACAAGTTTTTTTTTATATATTATTAATCTATTTGAAATATCACTATGTCTATCCCCTGTTTTCTTTAAAGGTGAAGAATAAACACCAGACTTTGATCTGTTAGCAATGTTTTAGATTTTGTTTGTATTTGCAACGCATCACTACACTTTTTTAAATTAATGGAATGTGAATGTGATCATCACGTTATCTCTCCTACGATACCGACAGCAAGGCCTATGAAGTTCAGTCCAAAGGTCCAACAGGCATTTCAGAACTGAGGATACCAGTTTATTTGCACATTTACAACTACCAAGAATCATCTTTCAACAGACAGACAGAGATGATTTATCAATTCAGCTTAGCAACAATGATTTGGTAGTATTCAATATAAATGAAACATTTACATAACATAACATAATCTGATATTATCTTGCTACTTAAGGAAAAAGTAGCCGATAAGATTCTGGCATTTTTAAAGAAGTGATCATAGATTAATACTTCAAACTCTTTGTTAAGAAAATGACAGAACTTGATGTGCAGCCATTTTTTAATTAGAATTTGATAGGGTTTATTTCAGCAAGTAAATCTTGCACAATGTCCCTATGTGGTCAGATCATCTAATTTAATCAAGATGTGTTCAGATCAGTTGTTGTATAGTCAGTACCATCATTAACTTAAAAATTCTGATTATTTCATAAATACTCTAAGTCCTGTTGTTCTGCCAAATATAAATAGAATTTGACGAGTATTGAACTCATTGATTTAAAGAAACATTGGTTAAATATAAAAAAAATACATTAATGTAAAAATTTGGTTTTTAACTGACAGGAAAAATTAAAGTTATTGGAGGGAAATGAATAAGTCACATATTTTTTAAAAGATTTGCAACTCTGGCAAATGTTCACAGATTTTGACTGATATCAAATTAATCTTAGATATTATTGGTAATAAAAAATAATATACCAAATTACAAATTGAAGTTATTTGAGAAAAACATGAAATTCTATTTCAACATTTTTAAAAAGCTTTCAACACTGGCAAATTTTGATGGATTTTGACAAATATCGAACTCATGTGAGATCATAATAATCTAGTTCAGATCTGACAGGAAGATTTAAAGTTATTTGGTGGAGACAAAGAAATTAGATATCTTATGAATTTTAATGTTCCTTAACTGTATCAAGTGATGACAGGTTTGTACTAAAATTGAACTTATCCAAGATCTTATTAATTAACCTAATCTGCTTCAAATTTGATGAAAAACAAGAAGTTTATAGGGCCTGTAATGCTCACCTGGTTTTGCTTGACTGAAATTGCTTTATTAAAACTAAAGGAAAAGGAATTCTAAATATTCCAGAATACGACACAAAACATATCTACTTTCCTATTGGACCACAACCCTCCGTCATGAGGGGGTCAGCCAAACCATCCTTACTTCAGATCAAATGATTTCTATAGGACAAGTAGGATTTTAAAGAATTTGTTTATTTCCAATACTAAGTTCTGCTCCTTCTGTCCCAGAAAAAATGAGACCTATACACGACGCTTCAGAGGATTTTAAAGAATTTGGTCTATATTTTCTTTTAGGCCACATCCCTTTACACCAGGAGACTGAGACCCCCTATTCCCCTCCCCCAAAACTGCTTCAGACTAATTTGGGGAAAATCCAATCATTCCTACAGGAGGAGTAGGATTTTAAATAATTTGCCCAATTACCCATATTGGGCCCCACCCTCCTACCCAAGAGGACCAAGACTCAGCATTTACACAAGATTGATTTCACTTTCCCAAAAAATGTTTCAGACCAAATTTATGCAAAATCCAATCAAGCCTATAGGAGGAGTATGGTTTTAAAGAATTTGCTCTATTTCTCTTAAAGGGCTTTATCACTACTGTCACAAGGGGATGAGATCCACCATTTATATGAAATTGATTTCTCTGCATCCAAGAATGCTTCAGACCAAATTTGGGCAAAAAGAATCATTCCCAAAGGAAGAGTAGAGTTTTTTAAAAAAAGTTTAAGTTTAAAAGTTCCCCTTTTAGACCCTGCTCCGTCACACACATTTATACAAAATTTGCCCCTCTTCCTCCAAGGATGCTTCTGAAAAAATTTGGTCAAAATCCACCTAGTTGTTCATGACTAGTGGCGATGTGTAGGAAAAATTGATGAACAGACAGACCATTTGTTATTTGTTTTATTTTATCTATACATTTCAAAGTTGATGACAAAACTGAATTTACACTCAGACCCAAAAAAGGATTTTCCTTCCTGCTAAACAGAAGTTGCTAACTAAATGTGATGAACAGAATCAATCTAATCTTCACAGACCAAGGAGTCTCCAAGTTTACCTACCGTGGTTCTTTGCCACCTTGGACATGACATCGACAAGGTTCCAGTAAAAGTCATTATTTTCATATTTGCTCCACCCTGGACTGCTCTGGAATGTTCTACCCGACTCCTTTGCAGCAACAAATCCAATCCTGGAACCTTCACTGTCTGGTTTAACTCCCCGCTGAAACTTTCCTGTTAACAATCCTCTAAATAACAAAATAAAAGCACTTGGTTAATAACACCACTGATATTTACAATGCACATATATACGTAATTTTGGACCAGATTTCCTGTGAATGACTTCTCATTTATTGTTACATGTACATGAATAAGTCATAAATCTTCTTCTAAAGACAGCTAACGCTTTCTTCAACATCTTGAATTGCCATTGAAAGTTGTGTTAGGTTATTTTTTTGAATGAAAGTTATATGAGTTCAAAATTCAATCGATTTTAAAAGATTACATGGTTAATCAATAGAAATGTATGCTAAATACCAAATCTCTGGATGTATAAATATCCTTCACAAATAAATCTTACTATTTACCACTAAACTGATTTACATGTATGTAATTACCGTAACGACACAACTGGGGGGTTGATAGTCAAAAACATGAGTCAACATTTGCCTTGCCCTGTCTTTTAAGAAAATTGGAGGTAGAAAATTTTTTTCTGCTGAATAAATTGCCCAGATGTTGTCTGAGTTCAGTGACAAATAGAATCTTACATGTCAGGTGTACATATCATGAAGTTCACTTTCAAAAGTTGAAATTCAACTTCATTTCTTTCAGAACAGTGTGAAACAAATTACTTTCCAATTTATATTTATTACTCTTAATAACCCACATGAAACACAAATTGGTCTTACTGTAGTAGAAACCAGAGTACCTAGGGAAAACCCAAATAGTCGACTATGTAATACCATATCTTTTCACATATGTTTCGGAAATCACACCCTGGCCCTTGATAAAAGGCGGGTATATTATCATTATGCCATAAGACCACTTATCTAATTCTTTGTCCACTACATGCAATTTCATTTTCAATTAATGTCTCCTGCATGACAATACATGACATTACCACTAATGATCAATAAATGACCTTGATTAATTTAACATAGGTTTTTGTCAAGAAAACAACAGATTAACTCTGCTCTCTGGTTTACATCCTGTCTTCAAACTATCTCAAACTGTCGAGAAGACAATTTACCAACCCTTTCAGTGGACTCCAGGGCAGAACTCCTATGCCCTCATTCCTGCACACCTGAAACTCCTCCAGCTCAGGGTGACGACACAACAGGCTGTATTGTTGCTGTAAAAATGATCACAAATAGGTGTTAGAGGCTTGCTTTACTGCACAGTTTATGAAAACAGGAAACAGATTATAATTTGAATGAATAACATTGGACAACAGACTCCTGCAAATAGCAAATTACAGTACATGTTAAGTATACTGTATATAAAATGCAAGAAGGCATCATTAACTCACTTTGTATAAGGCGTTAATCTTGAGTTTTTTGCAAAATGCATTAAGTGCAACTGGGAATTTAAATAGTAGACTAAGAAAAAATTCTGAACTAACTTATGTAACTTATTAAACTAAAAAAGACTTGGTAAACATTTTTTTTTTGCATTTCTTTTTCACCTTCAGATATAAAAAAATACCTGCAGTCCTATGATGGAGTTGATCCCCAAGGCCTCTGCTTTGTCAACAATCTTCTGCATCTGCCAGCCAATAACATTACAGACGCCTATGTACCGAACTTTTCCGCACTTGACCAGGTCATCCAATGCTCTAAGTGTTTCTTCTATCGGCACTGCTGAGTCCCAGCCATGAGTCTATGATACCAAATTTATGTTTTAGGAGTTCCTTGCCATACATTTAAAAGTTACAGATTGCACTATGATCTTTAAAAAACTTTCATTTTTGATCTATTTAAATATTTCTGGTCTCTCATTCCCTGCTATCTTTGATTTCAGTCACAAAAAAAGTTAAATATGAAAAATAAATTGATGAATCAATGGGCCATAGTCTACATAACAGTTGAAAAAATATCTGCAGCGCTTTCTAATAAATAGTGAAAATAAGATTTCTTTGAGCATGCAATTGGATTTAAAATGGAAAACCTATAAGCATACCTGGTAAAGATCAATATAGTCGGTTTGTAAACGCTTAAGGCTGTCATCACACATCTGTAGAATATGACGTCTGCTCAGCCCTGTTTCATTTGGACCTTGTCCCATTGTAGCACGCACTTTTGTTGCTATCACGAGGTTCTCCCGTTTTTGTCTAAAATTGAAAAATTATTCTTTTTTATTTGAAAAAATAAAAATCCTTAAAAATCCAACCAATAACATCCATTCAGAAAAATCATTTGTAGGTCTTTTAAACAAGAACGCTGTTTGCTAACAAGAAGTATCATAGAAAGGTTTGATATTAATATCAGTTAGCAATAAGACCTCTTAAATGTTGAATTGTTTCCAAAATAACATTAGCAATAAGTTATGGAGTCGAGCCAAGTAAAGTCAAGGAGACAGAAGCTGCAAATAACTTTGAATCTCCACCACTCACAGACCACCAGTTATATCTTGCTAAACAAAATTAAATCTCTACCACTCACAGACCACCAGTTATATCTCCACCACTCACAGACCACCAGTTATATCTCTCTAAACAAAATTGAATCTCCACCACTCACAGACCATCAGTTATATCTTGCTAAACAAAATTGAATCTCCACCACTCACAGACCACCAGTTATATCTTGCTAAACAAAATATCATATGAAGAAGATAACTCAGCAAATTACAGTCTCCCACACCCACACTACCTCACCAAGATGAACTGATATAGTAAATATGAAGTTCGTGTGGCTAACAATACAGAAAGATTGAGGCAGGACAATCTTCTTTGCTTTAGGTCAAAGGTAAAACTGTTGGTCAGAGTGACCTACTTTTGGTACATGACACAGCATCACCAAGGTGAACCCATATATATCTCAAATATAAAGTTCCAATGATGTTAGTGTAAGAAATAGCTAGGACATGGACAAGCTTTTTCGCTGATCTAGGTCAAGGTCAAAATGTTGGCCAGAGTGGCCTGCTTTTGATTCCTTACACACAGTTTCACCAAGGTGAACCTATCAAATATACCAAAGTATCAAGTTCTCATAATAGTTGTGTAGATGGCAGGGCTTTTAGAAACAATTTCTTTGATTTAGGGCAAAGGTCAAAATGTACATGAGTGACCTACTTTTCATATGCAATACACAGTCTCATCAAGATGAACCCATATCCAAAGTATTAAGTTCAATCAAGGTGAACCCAAGTATAAAGTTCCAATGATAAGTAGTGTAGGTGATATGGCATAGATGACCTTGTTCTTTGAAGTATGTCAAAAGTAAAAAAACAATGTAGGTCAAAGTAACCTTCTTTTGATATGTGACACACTGTCTCACAAATGTTAACCCATATCCCAAGTTTTTAGTTCAACCAAGGTGAACCTATATCATAAATTTCAAGTTCAACCAACCTGTGAACCCAAATTCCACGTATCATGTTCCCATGATTAGTTGTGCAAAAAACAGGGCCCAGAAAAAACTTTTTTCTTCAATGTAAGCAAAGGTCAAACTGTACATCATCAGAGTGACCTACTGTTCATACTCATTTCACCGACGTCTCACCAAGGTGAACCTATGTCCAAAGCATGATATGTTCCCTTGAAAGGGCCAGGACATATATTTTACCTTGATATAGGTCAAAGATCATATTGTAGGCCAGCATGACATATTTTTGATACACACTGTCACAAAAATGTGAACGAAGTCCCAAGTATAAAGTTCTCATGATTAGTGATGTAGAAGATAACAGATAAAAGAAGGACAGAATGACAGAAAAATGGACGAACACAAAGCAAATCTATAGCCCCCTACAGTTCTCAGTACTGGAAAGTGACATACATGTCAAGTCTCTGTAGAGAGTTTTTGCCTTGGTCATGAACACATAAATTAGGCAACATATTGGGGTTATAGCAAAACATGATTGAATTTTTCCAGTTTTATAGTTTAAACCCCTTGCCAGGGATGATTTTACTGATGAGTATCAATCTAAGCAGCTAGAAAGTACCAAAGAGGAAAAGTTATTATAAAATGCAATACATTGGGAGGAGTCTACCAGGTTTATACCATATAAGACTTTTTCTTTCCCTCCAGTGTCTTATTCTAACTACAAGACTTCATTAAAATATCAATCTGACAAATGTGTACATTAGAAGGAGTTACATGATATTTTTTTAGATCCTGTGCATACTCTTCAACCGTGAAAACCAGACACAGCTGAAATTAGCCAATCATGTTGAGAATAGCAAAAATTATCTAAGTGAGGTCTACCCTTTTAAACAGTGTATTTTGCCATAGGAGGCATGGGTTTATCAGATTGGGAGGAAGTATATTGCAGAGTACAGAAAAACTCACTTTTGGAGCCAGTTACCAATGATCTGTTCCGATATACCAAAGCTATATATATTAGCCGTGTCTATAAAGTTTCCTCCCATTTCCACAAATCGGTCCAGGATCAAGTGTGCCTCTGCCTCGTCATTTTGAGTAGGTCCATTGAAGAGCTGTTTTAACAAACCTGCCATTAATACCTTATATATATATATATTGTAGGTACAAAAAGATGAATTAGTCTGATCAGCTGGAAAAACCTAACAATGAGAGAACAAACAGGAACAATTTTTATTTCCATAATTTTGATGCAAGCTTATATAGATATTAGATATCATCAGCATGTCTGAAATGCTATGCGGCCATCATCAGGATTTGATGATGGCCAACTAGCTTTGCATGCATAGTGATTGAAACATGTTGACACTGTCATCCGATCCTAATGATGGCTGTATAATGGTAGACACATGTCAACACCGTTTTCAGATATTCTGATAATGGGTGTATAGTGGAAGACACATGTCAGCACCGTTATCAGATATTCTGATGATGGGTGTATAGTGGAAGACACATGTCAGCACCGTTATCAGATATTCTGATGATGGGTGTATAGTGGAAGACACATGTCACCACTGTTATCAGATATTCTGATGATGGGTGTATAGTGGAAGACACATGTCAGCACCGTTATCAGATATTCTGATGATGGGTGTATAGTGGAAGACACATGTCAGCACTGTTATCAGATATTCTGATGATGGGTGTATGGTGGAAGACACATGTCAGCACTGTTATCAGATATTCTGATGATGGATGTATAGTGGAAGACACATGTCAGCATTGTTATCAGATATTCTGATGATGGGTGTATAGTGGGAGACACATGTCAGCACTGTTATCAGATATTCTGATGATGGATGTATAGTGGAAGACACATGTCAGCATTGTTATCAGATATTCTGATGATGGGTGTATAGTGGGAGACACATGTCAGCACCGTTATCAGATATTCTGATGATGGGTGTATAGTGGTGGACACATGTCAGCACTATTATCAGATATTCTGATGATGTGTGTATTATGGAAGGCACATGTCAGCACTGTTATCAGATCCTAATGATGGCTGTATAATGGTAGACACATGTCAACACCATCATTAGATCCTAATGATGGGTGTATAGTAGATGAAACATGTTGACACCATCGTCAGATACTATATATTACACAGGTGAACATCACTGTATACAGTACACAGATAAATATCATTGTATACAGTAGACAGGTGAAAATCATTGTATACAGTAGACAGGTGAATATTGCTGTATATAGTAGACAGGTGGATATTGCTGTATACAGTAGACAGGTAAACATTACTGCATGTGTTCAGACATATCTGTACATTCAGTACACATAATAGAAATATATAACTAGGCCAATTGGAGATTTCTCTAGAATTATCTTTTGTGTTTGCTCGCTGCAAGAAGGTATTATTGAAGTCCCTTCTCCATCTCATTAGTTATCTGTATCTTATCTGCATATGCCATATATAGGTCATGTCAGGGTCGTGTACCCTTCGTTTGCTGTGTATATAGTGATAAGCTACAGATCAGGATTGCATACATCGCCAGAAAACTGATGTTCTCTAGAATTATCTTTTGTGTTTGCTTGCTGCAAGAAGGTATTATTGAAGTCCCTTCTCCATCTCATTTGTTATCTGTATCTTATCTGTATATGCCATATATAGGTCGTGTCAGGGTCGTGTACCCTTCGTTTGCTTTGTATATAGTGATAAGCTACAGATCAGGAATGCATACATTGCCAGAAAACTGATGTTCGTCGATGAAAACATGCCTGGACAAGGGAGCAGTTCCAAAGGCAGAAAACCTCTCAACCAACCAGTCAGAGTCACGAGACCAAGACTTTGAGTCAAGTTTTCACTGCAGATCAGCTTAGTCTGACCAGACTTTCCGTCGGCGAATGAGAATTGAATCATATGTTTGTACCAGAAATATATACTACTAATAAATGAAAGAGATGTATCACAAAACTTACAATGGTCAAAATTACTCAGCTGTTACATGATACTATTTGTCGTTAGATGACACTCTTCATACTTCGGGTTGAAAGTTGAATATATAGGATAATTACGCAATTCAACTGCACTGAAGCTTTAATAAGATGGTTTGATTTTTTAAATATGAAAAGTTAACAGAATTATTTATCACAAAAGATAGTGAAATAAAGTTGGAAATAATTAATATTCTTACTACTGTACTAAATTGAAAAGATCTGTTATGTGCTAGTGGTTTATAAACACAGGCGGTAGAGAAAGTCTATTTAACTTCCGATATACGATAGCATTAAGTTAAATCAGAGACGTATATAGCACATGTGTTATATACGTCTCTGGTTAAATATAACAGGCAGTTTTATCTCCCCTGTATTACACGTCATTGTATAGTAACTATTTTTCCCCGAGAGACAACTGTCAACCTCAGACAGATTTAAAAATGTAATTATTGAGCTCATTGTGATCTTTAAGGAATCCATAATTATAATAAAGACAAACAATGAAGAGTTATCTTTCTTGCTCAAAACCGGCACAGCCCACTGGAACAATATACTGGAGGGTGAATATTCATGTGACACAACGTCAGTACAAACCTCGATTGCTGAGTTTTTTCCAAAAGTCATAGTGCCGAGGCAAATATTGGACACCTTAAGTCCAGATTTCCCAAGGAATCTGTAAGCCACTTGAGGCGAAGGTTGACCCGTTGTTGTCCCTGCCATGTTGATTCCGAACCTCTACATAGGCCTATATCACCGATTGTGTTAACAGCGTAAGGGGTCATCTCAAAAGGTATTGTACCGCATGACGTTGTTGTAAAATTTGAAAATAATTAATTTAATGAAACAGGCTAGCTTAGCCTCACTCTGCCCCTTCCGTCCTTTTTTAGAGAAGAGGAGAGAAGGGAATGATTTCAGATTTGGCTGTTTAACCATTTTGAATTGGAACCAAGCACCGATAAAATGCGTGTTTCGACTCTCAGCTTGGACAAATTTTCCCTTCATGTTCTTTTTATACTCATAACTGGCTTGGTGCCTTCGCCTACTGACGTTATTCATCGCATACAAGGTTACATGTATAATTTACTCGATTTGCTTTCCCGTGAAATGTAAGTTCTAGCCAGGACAATTCTTCCTCTTAACATCGGAACATTATGTAATTCGGAGCGGCAATTCTGTCCAGCCTGTACCAAGTGACCTGCGTGACCTAGCACCCGCGTGATTTTGGTACAATTGTAAGTTTAAATCATTTTGTATAAAGAAGGAAAAGATGAAAAGAAAGGATAAAAAGAAAAGAAGAGAAAAAGAGACAAGATAGATTTTTTCATACATCATATACATAAAACACAGTACGTGTCCATAACCAGAGACGTATATATCACATATATATATGTGATACGTCTCTGCCATAACTAAACCTCAGCCTAAGTTTGTATTGTAGAGTCACCGTCTGTTGGTTATTTTACTTCCTCAATAAAGAAAAACAAAGCCTGACGGACTTGAGTTGCGTTGTGTAACAATGTGTACCATCATATCGGAAGTTCAAATATGCACATCTTTATTGAAAAATGACGATTTGATGGCTCAAAATAACTTTTTAAAAGTTTGTTCATCTCATTTGATCAAAAAATATCAAACAGAAAACTTGAATCTAACCTATTACAAAAGATGTATTTCGCACCGTGCTTCTAAAAAAAAAAAAAAAAAAATTCCCACCGAAATGTCATTCCTGCTCAAAGGATTATTTCATATAATATTTGTGCGTCTATGTTATTTCATGATGTCATCAGAATCATAAATGCATTCGCATTTTCGATACATATATCGGTCACTTCAGGTGAGCGAATTTGAGATCGTACCTGAAGATTTGTTTTAAAGAAAAATACTGGTGTTTCACTGGTCAGTATTCTTTAAAAGAAATCTTACAGTATGAATGCATTTCAATTCATTTATGTATTTGCTTGGTTTCAATTCATCGATGTAGCCTGACTAACGAAATCCTATTCATAGGGGTCCGAATCAAATGCGTCAAGGATATTACAGATGTCATATTTATTTTGTCTCTTATTTATTTCGTAAATCTTAATTAATGTGTGTTTTATTGCTGTCCCCTTGTATATTTATTTGAATTTATTTATAAACCAAAGTCATTATTGAGTACTTATAAGATTAGGTCCACAGGATCAGTACCAAAGCTGAAGATAAAACCAGTCCTATCGTTGGCAAGTTCAGTCGGAGGATTTAAAAAAAAAACTTTGAGAAACGATTTAGCAATTAGCGCCTTGAAAATTAAAAGAATATTCCTTATGCATTTCCGTGCACGTCCATCAGGGTAACAGAGGGATCTATTATGGCAGAAGTTGTAACCATGGCAATCATCCTCTCAAGCGTCATCCCCCTAATCCATAGGACAGCGTGCACTGGAGGATGCGCGCCAGAATTTCTTTCTCAAATTGTTGTCCTGGAACATCAATGGCGGACTAAACAATAAACTTAAGTTTGTAAATTTTTGTAATTAAATCTTATGATATAATTTTCTTTTCTAAATGTTGGATACCGAACGAGGATTCTTTTTCTGTTAATGGGTTTTCTTCTGATGGTTATCCGAGAAAAATAGCTGTGCGATCTCTAGGTGGTGGTATTGTTATACGGATAAAAACATTATATAACAAATTTTGTAGATGTAATTGAATCAACGGATATCTAATCGTCTATTTAATAATTACAGATATTTGTATTTAGCATGTACTTAACTGCCCCCATCGAATTCTGCTTATTATAATCTTTATACATTTGTGATTTGTTTTTTGAGCTTGAAAATAGTATTGGAAAATATAGTTCACTTGGTAATACAAGGTTGGTGTGATTTTTACAGTCGAACTGATGATCAACCCGACTTTTTAATCAAATAATGTAGTATGTTACAGTATCCATGATCGGTGACCGCCTTATATTCCGAAGGCCCAATAGTCCGAAGGCCCTAAAGTCCGAAGACCCGATAGTCGGAAGGTCCAATAGTCCGAATTTTCTCAGGTTTTTTTTCGCGCCATCTTCGCCGCTCATATAAGTCGGATTCCCCTTACTGTTTACCGTGCATGCTTTCATCTACATTTTTTTTCGCGCCATTTCTGTTCACATTCCCGTCGCTTACAAATATAAGTCGCTTTTCACTTAACTGTTATAGTACAAGATAAAAGAATACTTAGGGCCATTTTTTCTCGCGATTTTTTGTGCCAAAACCTGTGATAAATGTTAGGAAGATTTCTGTTATTATTACTTAACTATTTTTCTCTCTAAATTTCGTCATTATTTCATTTACAGTTAAATAAGAAACAAAATAACGTAACCATTTTCGGACTAGCGGACCTTCGGACTATTGGACCTTCGGACTATTGGGCCTTCGGACTTTTAGGCCTTCGGAATATAAAGGTGTCACCTCCATGGTCATTTGCCAGATAATTTCAGTTATGAATCCGATGAAGTTTTTGATGCTAGAAATAACCCGGATGTTGTAATGAATAACTTTGATAATCGTCTGATCAAATTATAGTAATCTTGTAATATCCGTATTTGTAACAGACGAGACAGACACGGATTTTCAAATTGTTTTACTTATTTTGGTCATAATGTTATGAGTACTATTGACAATTGTTTATTGAATGACGCACTGTTTAACGTCACGGAAAAATATCATTTCCAACTCCAACGTCTTTTCTGATCATGCTTCGTTGCACATTCAGCTGACGTCCATATTTACTCGTCGTGTTTTGCTTGATGATAACCTTAATATGAGTAGCTAGTAAAATCCGGTCTATAAGTGGAAGGGTGAATTTAATGAAAGTTGCTTAAATCTATAGTCTATAAATGAAAATATTTTACAGAATGCTGTTGTGGTACCAGAATCTGTTACTCAAGGCGATATCAATAACAGTGTAAGTAACGTTACTGGTATATTACTACTATCATTGGGTCATTTATTGTACATTTACCTCGCAATAACAACTATGATAACGAGTCTTGTGTTAATACTGTTGATATAAACACTGATAAACCTTGGTTCGATGAAGAATTAAAAGTCCTTGTTTGTTCTATAAAAATGCACTTTTCTCGCTCATTAAGAACCAAACTATTATCAATCTTTCTACATTGATTGGGAAGGAAAGGAATCTGCTAAAAAAGAAAATATACAAGACATGAAGGTGACATGATGGAATATATGAGAATGAATAATCCTAATCAATTTCATAAAATGTTTTCCAAAGTCTACAAAACCTGATATGGATATAACCAAACTATATGAACATTTGAAAAAAATTATCCAAGAAAGATAACTCTGAGAGTCCAAGATGATAAGTGAACATGTTGATGATATACCTATATATGACGAATTGGATGTTTCAGGTATGTTGGTGAAATAAGTAATTCTATAAAGCATTTAAAACGAGGCAAATCTGGCATAGATGGTTTTATAAATGAATGTTTTTGGTGGGTAAGGATATATTTATTTTGTGCACTCATTTAAACATTTTAGAATCTGGATTTTTCCTACTGACTTGTCTATTGCTGTGATTACCCTCGTACATAATAACGGAGTTCTGTCTGATTCACTTGCTACCGTTATCACTTGCCCAAGTTCGATGACGGCGAATTGCGCGCATATTTAATGAGGCTGTTATGACCAGATTGGCTTATTTCTTTAATAACTCTCGGATGTAGCTTTCCGCATGATATCCTTTGAAGAACTGTTAGGATTTAGATGAAACTTGGTTGGTACACGTGTTACCTTAATCACTTGCCCAAGTTCGATTAAAGGCGAAATCCGCGCAAAATTAATGAGATTGCTGTGACATTTTTTTTTTTTTTTTTTTTGCGCATTATCTTATGAAGGTATTTTTAGGAAATCTGCTTTTTAGACTTGTCCAAGTTCGATTATCGGCAAAATTCTATGAATATTTAATGAGACTGCTGTGAACTGATTGGCTGATATCTTTCGGCTCTCTGACTGAATGGTTTCTACACATTATCTTTTGAAGGGACGAATGAATAATAACGAGACTTACTTAGTAGACTTATTAGCTTAACCCCAAGTTTTTTGTTATCGGCAAATTCTGCACATATTAAATGGGCTGCTGTGACCCGATTGGCTGATATCTTAGTAGTTTCCCATGTTCCTCACTTTAAATGTATATATGATGAACGTTTTCTTGTTCTGAATTAGGACGGTTCCTTTCGAATTTTGTTAGCAATTATAGAAAGATAAAATACCGGTGTTTAAAATTAGACTTTCTGATAACTATATTGTATCCAGTTCATGTAATTTTCTATTAAACCTGTGTAACAGAAATGCTTTCAATTGAGTCACTTCTGTTAAGAAGGAATTGTGTAATCTAGGTTTAAGTTATATATGGATAAATCCTAATAAGGTCATTCGACCAAATTTAATTTTAATGGAGACTAAGAAAAGAATATTTGGTCAGGCAAAGCAATTAAGTATGACTTCATTGGAAAATTCATCGAAACGCTTTATGTAAAATATCTAGTAGATCAACCTTTCTCTTTGCAGTCTTTCCTTAGTAAATATATACCAAAGAAATACTATATATATTTGACTAGAATCCGTACCTCATGTCATTCTCTTGCCATAGAGACAGGAAGACAAGGGCACAAAGACATTGTAAACAGTGTTACTGAAGTTGAGGCTAAATTCCATTTTCTTACCAATATGTAGACAATTCCAAGCTACTCTCGTTCTTTGTATGAAGAGATTTTATTGGAGAAACCGCTGGTCTTTAAGTTATTTGAATTATTGAGTATCCACAATATTAAAGACTTTGTATGAAAGGTGAATTTATCAATTAAACTAGTAAATTGCGAAATCCCAAACTATGTATAGAATGTATAGCAATATTCTTCATTGTCTACATTGTACTGTATATGTAATATGTACTGATGGGCCTAAGGCCTAAAGTTGTAATAAAACTCGGAACTATTCATTTGCTTATCTAGGGATTTAGTTAGCCATGCTTTTTTTAATAGGAGTTTCCCGATTTGCACACATTTTATAAGACAAAGAAATATGCTGTTGTGTGAAGACAATGACAAACCAATTATAGTCCGTTTCATAATTATCATATATTTCACCTGAATTTATTTACATGTATTTTTACCTGTGTTATCTGTTACCTATGATTCTATGCTAAAGACATTTTTTAAAATAAATTTTTTGAGTTATATCTTGGAGAGTTTGATAACACAGACGTGATTGTAGAGGACCATGTCCATGAGTTGTGCCAGTGCAACGGTCCGTTAGTTTACAATATATATTGATATGAAGTAAAAACATATATGTATCCTGCCACTGCCCTTGTCGGAATGCACCTGTCACATATATTTTTGGTGTACTCGACAGTACATTGCCACCATATTGGAATAGTATTGGTATGATTAATTGGAATCGACCCAATTATCACTCAATGGTGATTATACTGTATTATGCATTGACTTACTTTGATAATGAGTAATGGGTTCGTACTTGATATACAATATACCTAAGCGTTAACTTAATAAAAACGTATATACAGAGTTGAAAAGTTCAAAGGTGAATAAAGAACTTGAACTTCTATTATTGGTATCACAGTTGTGAAGTTGTAATGGCGGACAGGCAATAACACAAACTAAATCTATTTATTTTGACAGATGAGAACCCTTACTCGAAAGCGAAAATAATATACAAGCGGGCGCGTTATAACGCATGTGTAAAGGAGGTAAAACACGGACGGACTTCATTACAGACAGTCGGACAGTCGTCCACAACGATAAGGTTGGTGGACCGATAAAAACCAAGTACACTATGCAGTCAGGAAAGACAATGTGTCCGGTGATCACAACGCCGGAAGTGACAGAATATCGAGTAGAGCTACCTTTAGACAGACGCCTCAATGGACACAAGGGGAGAGATTGACGAGCAGGTGATAGAAAGTGACGATATCGAAACTCAGCACGATGACCTCGAAGAAGGAGGGAGAATTGAACAAAACTAGAATATCGGCAGAACCCTCCTTGTATGACAATCCAGTAGACCATGGTTGGGCATGGATGGTACTTTTAGGTAAATATACCAAAGACACTCCATACTTCTTGAACCAAATACCTGATTCGATTGTTTCTCTCGATCATTCGAAAAGTTACTACTACAGTGCTTTTTACCATTGTTTTATTTTTTTTCTATTTTCAGGGTGTTTTGGAATCAGCATGTTTATCTTAGGGGGTTTGAAATCTTTTGGCGTACTCTATGTGGAATTGGCCAAGAAATTCCAGGTATCGAACCAAGCACTGTCCGGCATCCAGTCTTTGGCCGGATTCTTTTTCCTTTTCTTAGGTTAGTTTGTTTCAAATTCTCCGAAGATGTATTCTAGAAGGCATCGTCAGGCTTTTTCCATATGGCATCCAAGGTCTTTTTTAATACTAGACCGCTTCTCTATTCTATATGGCACTCTATTTAGGTCTTATAAATTTTCGTTTTTTCTTGAACACGATGTGCGAGGGGACACCTGTTTTGACGGATGCGTATACTGAAAGATTCCTCGTGAAACCTCGTTATATTAACAGAAAACAGATAACGTGGGAATTGTAATATTATTTGTACCACAAAAAGACCTTCTTAAATTGCGTTAAAATGCGATGTTTGAATATATACCTTTATGTAAATACGTTTGATGTTAAGTATTTTCTCTCGCGGTATTTCGGTATATTGCATAGTGATAAAACAGATCAAGTGTTTAGTCAAAGCATTCGGATTTGTGATAATTTCTCATTCAAAATTGTGGATGAATTGTTCTTGATCAGATTAAAGTGGAAGTAGAAAATAATAAAGTTTTTGAAATGGCAATGTATTTTGATCGAGTTTTAAATGCGGAACTTTCTGTCGATACAATTTGCGTAACGATTTTTTATTCCTAGTATTTTCGTACGTTCCACGAAATTTTACTTCAAATAAATTGTTTCGGAAAATTATCTTGTAAACGATTATGTAAACAATATTATTTTTAATCTGGATTAGCCTTACAATGATCAATGTGATGCCGTTGTGAAGACTATCGGCAACTTTGATACAGAAAACTAATAAAAAAAAACTATAAACATTTTCTGATAAGATTCTGAAATGAAAGTGAAATGTTCATTTTGGATGTGGTGTGAAGTAAGTGATAATAGAGGCCACTGTATTGCTCTAAATAGGGTTAAACTATTTACAGGATCGGGCGAAAATTTTCAGCATCAAGGAAGAAAAGGATCGTTTTAATGGTGATTATGTAACTTGTTCTGCTTGAAATGGTCAAAGATGATCCGTTGCAAATGCTTTTTAACCGTAAATTATTGGGAAAGGTTTCGAAATATACGTAATGAGATTATTGACCTGATACGTGAGGCAAAGGCAAATTATATTAAAAAAACTTGAGAATTCTTTAGAAGAAAATGTTAGTCCTGATAAATAGTGGAAAATAGCTAAATCTATAACTAAGTTTTCAAATAAATCTGCCTCTATCTCTCCCTTACAATCTGATACCCAAATACACCACCATCCTATTGACAACCCTGAACTTCTTAATAACCACTTTACCAATACCTCAACTTCCTCACCTGATCTTCACCTCCCTCAAATACCACAACCTAACATACCCAATATATTAACAAATATTCATATTACTGAACAAGATGTCTCAGACCAAATTAGTAATCTAAAAATTCATAAACCTCCAGGTCCTGATGGTGTCATTCCTAAGATTGTAAAAAAAACCTTCATGCATCTCTAAAATTGCCCTTAATGCTACTTTTTAATAAAACACTGGAAACTGGGGTAATACCAGTTAGCTGGAAACAAACTAATGTTAATGCTATTTATAAAGATAAAGGGTCAGCTAATGATGTCACAAATTATAGACCTATTTCGATCACTACATGCTTCAGTAAATTGATTGAAAAAGTCATTTTTAAATATCTTTATAATTTTCTCATTGAACACAGTATCATTACAAAGAATCAATCTGGTTTTACTCCTGGTGACTACAGTTAACAAGCTTATATTTATTTATAATGATATTGTAAGCAATATGGATAAAGGTAAAGAACCCTGATTTGTTTTCTGTGATATCAGTAAGGCATTTGAAGGCAATAAACGAGCTAATATTGTTCTCTGTCAATTACAAAATAATTACAGTAATTTAGATTATGATTTATATTGTGATCATCTTGTGGATAATCGTTCTTGTGCCTGTTCATATGAAAATGAAACAGTTTCTCATTACTTCCTGAATTGTCCTTTGTATGCTTGGCAAAGAAATTTATTATTTGTTTCTATCCTTAATAATTATCATGATCATGTAGATTTAAGTACTCTTCTCCAAGGCTGTTCTGCTTGTAATGAGCATACTAATAAAAATATACTTGAAGCTGTACATCTGTGTATTGGACAGACCAGAAGGTTTAACTTCTTTATATTTTACCTACACATAGCCAGAATGATGTGCAAATATGTTATTTTATCATGCTTTACTCAATATTGACAGACAATTACTGGATACCAGATGAATATGAAATATACAAATCCATATACACTAATTATATATAGTCTACAAACCATAATGAAATAATAAATTTAAATTACATTGACAGAATTGGCAGTGCAAATGCTCATGGGACTTTTATGCCAACCTGTCAATCTTTTTGATATAAAATCTATCTTTGATATTTGTAATTGCAAGTGTATACAACTGTAGGTTGCTGTATACTATATATAACTATATTATATATATATATATATATATATATATATATTGTGCATATTGTATGTGAGATGTGTGAGAATTTTCTCCCTTTATTTGTTTTTTTCTTGTTTTTTCCCTTTCTGTGTTTATAAATTCAAATTTCAATTTCAAATTATATAATTTACATCATTATTCTTAAACTTTGTTAACTTTGGCTTCGTGGAGAGAATTTATATAGGCTTTGCCTGTTATTCTATCCACATTGACTGTACCATCTTTGTCAATAAAATTTGTTGAAATGAAAAATGAACCGAAAATTAAAATAAGAGTAAATAAATACACTTCTTACACATGTATTTTGGTCACGCTAGACGTAATTCTATCCGATACTGTAAATCGTCTTACCGATCTTAATGTGTGTTTATGTTCACGCATGCGCATCCGTAACGTTACTGGGCATGCGGCTGCCATTATAAATATAACAAGTATGTTCTTAATAAACTGTAAGCCGCGGTAATATCACATTCTATACCTAAATACTTCCTTGCATATGAGTACTCGCAAATAAAACTAAGAAATATAGGTAGCATTTTGTTTGAAGCGAACGTTTGAATGTCAGCTTGTTTTTATTGCTTTCCTTGGTTTGAACCGAAAAGAGGTGTGCTATATTTGAAAAAAATGTGTGGTAAGTGCAGTTAAGCTTATACTGGATTCTAACAAATGAACTTTAATTTTCGTTTTAAAAATCTATCATGAACTACTTAAATGTTTGTTGTCTGTTCTCCAGCTCCTCTTAGTAATGCTTTGAGTACCAGATTTACTCATAGAGTGGTAATATTTACTGGCGGGATAATTACCAGCTGCGGCCTGATATTGTCATCACAAGCGCCCTCTGTCACCGTGTTGTATTTCACTTATGGTCTTATAACAGGTATGTACATGTAGTACTTGCATTTTTGTACATAATCTGTAGTTAGAATATGAAAAATCTCTGCAACTGAACAAACCATGGAGTACAGTAAAGATTTTTATCATAAAGTACAGTAAATGTTGCTCTTTTTTGTTTACAAGAAAAGTTGTGATTTTTTAGTACAGTAAAGGTTGCTATTTTTGAGTACAGTAAAGTTCGTTATTTTCATATTCAAGTTTTTTAGTACAGTACAACTCTTTGGAAGTACAGGTTATTTTGTTGATACAGTAAAGGTTGTTATTTTGGAGTACAGTGAAGGTTGTTATTTTGGAGTACAGTAAAGGTTGTTATTTTCGAGTACTGTAAAGGTTGTTATTTTCGAGTACAGTAAAGGTTGTTATTTTGGAGTACAGTGAAGGTTGTTATTTTCGAGTACAGTGAAGGTTGTTATTTTGGAGTACAGTAAAGGTTGTTATTTTGGAGTACAGTAAAGGTTGTTATTTTGGAGTACAGTGAAGGTTGTTATTTTCGAGTACAGTAAAAGTTGTTATTTTTTAGTATGAATGTTTTTAGTACAGTTGTTGTGTGCAAAAAGTGTACATTGTAATTGTTTGTCACAACATTCTTTTTTCACATTACAGGTATCGGATATAGTTTATGCTTCTCATCGATGTTGGTAATGGTAGCCAATTACTTCGCGAAATACCGTTCATTCGCAACAGGATTTGCCCTATCTGGTGGCGGACTTGGGTCCATGACTTTTCCCTACCTCATCCGATACTTCATCAATCAGTACGGACTTGAAGGCGCCATGATGATATACGCAGGAATGATGAGTAATATTTGTGTTTTTGCCATGCTTCTCCGTCCGTTTACTAACTATCCCCTTAGGAAAACACATGACATCTGCAACCAGGAAGGTAATATCAAGGAATTAGATTCGCTCATACCTCGTGGTGAATCTGCAGATAATGGTAAAAGCAGCAGCATCGAAAACACGACCGTATCCCCACACCATCCTAACAGTGGTCAAGTGAACTCGAGTAAGCTCCATCCTGACGACCAGACCGAAAGCGACTTGCACCTCTCAAAAGAAAGTGTTAATGTTGTAGCCAAGAAGAACAATTTTCTACATGAAATTAATTGGAAACTTTTTCTAAGCCCTGTTTTCATTGTTTTTTTCGCTGTCATATTTTTTGCAATGATTAGCTACCATAGTTTATTTAACATAGTTCCTCCATATGCTGATGAACTAGGATTATCGGGTGAGGATGGAGCGCTGATTTTATTGGTATTTGGAGCAGCGGACTTAATAGGACGAATAGCATTCGGTGTATTAATGGACATATTCCCAAATCCAAAACATCGTCACATAATCTTCACCGCGTGTGTTGCTGTTTCTACTGTCGGAGTGATCATGACGTCATTTTTTCAATCTCTGCTAAGTATTTCCCTATTTATGGCATCTTATGGGTGTTTTGCTGGAGGATTTAACGGAACCGGTATGATAGTACTTGTTGATAAAGTTGGCATGAAAGTGTTACCAAGTGCTTGGGGATTCATCTGCTTATCGGCTTCCATTGCCATGCTAATCAACCCTTGGGCATCAGGTATTTATTTACATACTTCGTTTTAATAAAAGATAACGGGTAATCTGAATTTAAATCCAGCAAGGAAATCTGGGTTTGGATTAAAAATTGTTTAGTCCTAGAACCAGCCAGAATATCTGGATTTGTAGAAAAGCTCGTTATTGAATCGTAAATCCTGACAGGATATCCAAACTTTGTAGACCATGAGGTGTTCGAATGGTAGTGTTAACACACTCGTCTTTCAATTGGACGTCGAGGTTCGATTTCTGAACCGGACGTGAAAATGTTTGGGGTCACTGCCTGACCACGTGGGTTTTCTCCAGGTACTCCTACAGTAAGACTCCATGCGCGTTTCCATCCGTGGTTATAGTGATTAATGCAAGTTGAATTGGCCTCGCATGGATCATTCCCAAATTTTATCGGTAGATTCCATTTAGTCCCAATTTCTGCGTAGTCCATTTAGGAATCTATTTGAAAAAAATGTAACTTTGGTTATTGACAGTCATGACTTTCATTATTTCTTGAGAGGCACATGATTAATCATTCTCAAGTTTCATATATCGGTTCCCTTTAGATCCTAGTTGTGCTTACAGCAGTCCATTTTGGGCCTCGTCGATTAAATAAAAAAGTACAAAAAAACAACTGGCTGACAGGCGGTCATATTCGTTTTTCTGGAGAGGTATTCGATGAATACTACTAAAAGCTCAGATGCGTAAATTTTAGGACTTATCGGAAGATAAAATGTATGACATGTGGCACCTTAATTTTTGTCATTAAAAAAATGTTATCCGCTATTTTTGGAGAAGTACTGGGTTAATCTTTCTAACTTTTTGTATAGATTTGTCTTGGTCCCCTTTTGCCCTTGATTTTGAGGCTGGTTTCATTTATTTTGCAACGATTGCGAAACAAGTTTTAAGCTTTTGCTGGCCCGGATGGAAGCATGCGAAAGGTCTTTCTGTGGGAAGAAAATGGAGCAACATGGGATATGCCACGTGATCGAGCAGGTGACCATATCTTTACAAGTCCGTTTTGGGGATCGAACCTCTTACGTCTAGGTAATGGTGAGTGCGTTCCCACTGCGCCACCGACTGCCTAAAGAAAATAAACTGACTAACAGACGACAATGATTGATTCGGCAATTAATTATTATTATCGCTATTTCTGAAGTACATATAAAATCGTTTTTCATTAATTTTGTGATTGAAAATTCCCTTGTCAGTACCATAACTCTGAGCAAGGACTGTAATTAACTTTGTCTTTTTCATGGTACGTATGAACACCATACCTTCAACACAACAACGCAGATTCAATATTCTAATACCAAATTCTGTCTTGAATCAACTGCTTATTGTATGACAGATCTCATAAACACGGCTGACCACTTTTTTTCAATCTGCATTCTTTTCATTTGGCAGGTCTCATAAAGGATGGTACTGGAACATGGGCCAATGCCTTTAGGTTTACGGGGTCCATGTCAGTCGTCGCAGTGATCCTGTTGTTGATATTGCCTTGTATAGAGAGAAGATACAACCGGAGGAACACGGCTCGTGTTTAATCAGCATGATACTACTGTTGGAATATTACATAGAATATAAAACAAAAGGAGAAACAAGTCTAGTAAGGATTGATCTTTATATCGGCTCCGTCTCACTAAGTGTACGATGATTCATGGAAATCGCTTAATCCGGTGACGCCATATGCGATTATAATACAATAAGTCCTGTGTAAAGGATGCTATGATTTAACTCCTTCATACTTTTTCATGCATTTGATTCGTCACTCTAACACAACAGGCCGTCGTGTAACACTGATATTACATTATAGTGATACCTGTTGACCTGCAGTTTACACCATATTGGTTAATTTTACTACGCGAGTTGATATAGTGTTATGTTTATGCAAATAAAGTTTGATGTTAAATAATTGTTATATGAATTAATCTTTAAGATAAATGTTTGAACATTCTATCAGCATATTGTGTATCTTTTTCTTTATCACAAGAAATTCAAGAAAATGAACACGGATCACACTCGCCTTGTCTCCCGACACTAGTAAAAGTCATTGTAATAGCTTTGTATGGTCTGAAGATTCAGTGTTCAAGATCTCGAAGGAGCGTGCATCTCATCCTCTGTGGAATTATCTCCGTGTACATAGCGACAACGCTGTCACTCGGAAATTAGATGGGAAACCTCAAGCCCGTGATGCTAATATCCTAAATTATTGAAAACTAGGTGGCGATGGAGAAAAATCATAATTGGTTGCAAGTGATGTCCAGATCCGGATAAGGATATGCGCAAGCCTCAAAATTTGAAAACATTCAAAATTTTCATTTCATAATGATTTCGAAAGTCAAGTGCATGTGTATACATATATGTATTCTGAACCGTGCCGTCATTCAAATGAATTAAAACGTGAGGAACTAATCTAGCCCAAACCGGATAAACACGAAATATTTGTCCGCGAAAACAAATACAGTTCATGCTTTCTGTATTTTATGTCGAACTTAACACCGGGCAAAAACGTTTCATGCCAGGAAGAAACACTCCTTAGGCGAATAGTTCCCCATATACAGCATGTCGTTAATGTACAAAATCAGAAAAGCTGAACCTGATTTTTGGTAAAGCATTTGTGTTACTTGTACATAATTATAGAAGTATGTTTATTGGAATAATTTTTTTTTTGCAACAATTTAAATCTTGGATCCATGAGGCCCACACAAAATATGATATACACGACCTAACACATTGTTATTTATTATAGTTATACTTTCAAATAAATATATAGACAGCTGAAATCATAGACGAATATAATTACCGGCCACATATATTACAAACGGTATCTGACGAGGTATTTATTTATAATCGTATAAATGAAGATATGTTTCTAGATATTGTCAGTCGACTAAATGTTATAATTCATTAGTAACGATGGTTATAATTCATATTCATAATAACTGTTGTAGTTTGCCAGATGGTTATTACTGGAACTTCTATACAATCACTGGATAATGATATCCATGATTGACCTGGTTATAATCATTAATGTGATTATTAACCGGATGATAATTGACTATAGTAATAAGGCTATACCGGAATATTGCATCATTTATGTATATATATGTTAATTATTTGCATATTGCCGGATACTCAACAAGTCAGGATAGCGTTTTATATATGATTACATTTCAATGTGTTCGGACTGAAGACTTTCCAAAAAGTAATACTTTTGAGTTTGGACTAAAGAATTTCCAGAATTCAATGCTTCCGGAATAGGTTTAAACTATTATTTTACGTGTTTATAGTACGTGTAATTACAGGTAACATTCCTGAAATGAAAGAGTCTAGGGAATCCATTCCGATAAGGTAAAGGATAGATCTGTGCGAGTGAAGTCCGTACATATATATCAACTATCACTTCACATTCCCAAGTGTCAGATAATTTCCACTTTCACTCCCTCTACCCCTGGAAATATCCTCGATACTTCAGGAGTTACAATCACTTTCGCTCTCTGCGCCCCTAGAAATATCCTCGATACTGCAGGAGTTACAATCACCTTTGCATTCTGCATCCCGGGAAATATCCTCGATACTGATGGGTTACAATCACTTTCGCTCTCTGCATCCCTGGAACCATCCTCGATGCTGCAGGGTTTACAATCACTTATCTTCTTTTTAAATCTTTCAAAAAACTTACGAATTCTTCATCATTTATCATTTCTTTTGGATCGGCAATAAGTGACAAATCTGCTAGATCTTTTTGTTGGATTGTCTTTAGCTGTTAATAAAATTCTTACTCTCTGTTTCCTTTACATAAAATCTGTTTCATTCTTTACGACTTTTTCAGATTATTTTGATTCGGTTTGAACCACAACGGATTTCTAACCTTCACATTAACAAACACACCTATGTCCAATTTACGTGAACACTGTACATATGTATAGACACTACAGCTTCACTATATGAAAGGCAAATAAACTGAATAATAATACAAATACAACATTTATAGCATTGTGTTTAATCAAAGCTGGAAATCAAACAGGAAGTTATTGTTTTTTGTTATTAAAATTCTAAAAGAATTCAGGGTTTTTTCAACAAAAAATTGAACGTTAGTATTTCAGATCTGGATGCTAATTATGATTTGAGTTTTACAACTTTTATCTTACAGTACACTAAAGAAAATAACGGTATGACGTATACATTCTGGAAAACTACAGAGTGTAACGCGACTACTTGATGCCTATTTGGACGGAAACGTCTTCTACGCGCCAGCAGAACCCCAACTGACAACCCATGTAGTTTACCTGGACAAGTGTGAACTAAAAAGTAAACTCTTTATGGGCAAAATTCTTATCGTCTGACTCTATATGATTTCACACATTACTACAGTCAATGTGCGAAATAATCATCTGATTTTGTCTCGGTGGCCAATGATAAAATTATCCCTGGATTTGGATTTAAGCAAAGGAAACATGACCTGTGAGAAGATCTATAATTTGAAAATAAATTTGAACAGTATAATTGATTGTTACTGTAACAATTAAAATTTGAAGACAACTGAAAACTTTTGATCAATGCTTTTGATCAGAAGAGATCTACAACGTCTACCATTAACTATATCTTAAATTAACCCATTACACTAAGAGAAAGCAGGACAATGATTAGAAATTGATGAACTACAGCATTTTAAAAGGACTTTTTTCACTGTTGTTGCAAAGCTTCTGTCCAACACAAATACATAGTACAGAGCAAATCCCGAATTCATTGAACTCTTACAGTCTATTTCACATTAAGATTTATGACTTACATTTAAAAATAGCAGTCAATACGTCAATTATATTGTGTAATCCATTTGCTTGGTTGTTGCAACATCAGTCGATGTTGTTCATTTTCAAGCAACAAGTCCGTTGTAATGATACACATGCGCAATGTACTAAATGTGATACTAGCCCGCCAACATAATTAAATCTTTTAACCAAGCCTTGAAAGTCAACTGTCAGGTGATATCTACTTTTCCGGCCTAGTCATCTCAAATGCTAAAAAATGCATGTTTGTATCTATTTTGGTATCTGATTATTATGTTTCTCTCTTTCTCTACCATGATTGTATCATTGAATATATTTATCTGAAAGACTATGTCACTTACAGTTAATTAACTTTAACTGTATTTATATAACGTTTTTCTCAAAAGTCCCTACCTATTTTTTTTCCAAAACAAATAGTGTAGTAGAAATCTCAATTTTAGATTAATTGCGCTTGCAACTACTTTCTATTCACTTAAGGTTACAAAACCCAAGACAAAAAAGCTTACTTGATCAATTCACAACTGAATTATCATCATAAATTGAAGAAAGTAGTTCGTAGATCAGTGGCACTAAAAGACTCGATAATTTTTCGTTTGACCAATGTGAATTTTATTATTCGTCATTTAAATTCATTGATATTATTTTTGTTGCGAAAATGAGATTTCCTTTTCACAAAAATTGGCTCTGGTCTGGCCAGTTAGTGCAAAGACAGCTTATATTTTCTAGTGAATAGGGCACATGTAATTAACCAATGGAAGGTGTTCAAGGCTCAATGATCAAACACAAAAGCTAACACCAAAAAAGCAACCACTATCCCACTGTAATATGTCCATGGGCAGAATGTTTCTAATTTGGAATCTGAGGTCTAAATGTCTCTGTTTGATCGTGTCTCTTTTGGAAGGAAAAGGTTCCGCTTTAAAGTTCGTGGTTTACTTAAATGATTAAAACGATGCAGCAATGATGAAATTTGGTAATTTCCTCATGCAACACCCCTTGGTAGTAAGATATTTGAATGAATGTCATTGAACAACAGATATATCAAACTTGCAGTCCTATGATGGAGTTGATCCCCAAGGCCTCTGCTTGGTCAACAATCTTCTGCATCTGCCAGCCAATCACATTGCAGACGCCTATGTACCGAACTTTTTCGCACTTGACCAGGTCATCTAATGCTCTAAGTGTTTCTTCTATTGGCACCACTGGGTCCCAGCCATGAGTCTATCATACCAAATTTATGTTTTAAGAGTTCCTTACTATACATTTAAAAGTTACAAATTCTTTGAAAAACTCATTTCTCATCTGTTAAAATATTTCTGGTCTCTTTGCTATTTTGATTTCAGTAACAAAAAAGTTAAATATGAAAAATGGGCCATAGTCTACATAACAGTTGAAAAAATATCTGCAGCATTTTCTAAAAAATAGTGAAAATAAGATTTCTTTGTAAAATGGAAAACCTATGAGCATACCTGGTAAAGATCAATATAGTCGGTTTGTAGACGCTTAAGGCTGTCATCACACATCTGTAGAATATGACGTCTGCTCAGACCTGTTTCATTTGGACCGTGTCCCATTGTATCACCGCGTTGTCCCGTTTTTTTTTTTTTTTTTTGTCTAAAATTGACATATTGTTCTGTTTAATTTGACATAATAAGAAAAATAAATATCCTTAAAAATCCAACCAAGACTATTCATAAAGGAGGTCAAGATCACACGGACCTGTATTGACATGGAAATTCGCTCTAACCATCACGAGTGATTTATATATTTTATAGGACTTGGAAAATTCTATTTTTCAGACTGTGTGTTGCAAACATGTTTTGATTTCGAATCGTTGGAAAAGATATGTTGATTTTATATTGAAAAGTGACTTTTGGACGTTGAAAACGAACAATGGATAAGGCCATATCGCGTGACAACTGCTAACGACACGCTCAGTATCTTACATGTAGCTATTGTATAGCTAGTGTACAATCGAATATTATATCGTATCTATACACCAGCGTACAAGTGTATATTATTGGACTTTTGAGTTCATGATTTGAAAGTCTGCTAGTGGTTCTACTACCAAGACATATGAAATGCTTGGAAACCTTGTTACGAAAGCAGATATGTACAAGAA